TGATAAAAAATACAATGAAAACTACTTAAATAGGAACATTTTTGTTGGAAAATTGCCATGAATATTTCATTACGGCAAAAAAATCATGCAAATAAAGTTATGCTATTGCAGCAATTCTCAACAACATTCATATTACATGTATATGTTCTTCCATGATTTGTCCGTTTATCATGCAAAGTTTCTTAAGAAATATTCCATTTTCAGTCATGCATAAAATCATTGTAACTATTATGACTTTTATTGTGATTATTAAACATTTAGATACACCCATGTTAACATATATACATTTTTACCAATTTACGTCTTTAAAATTATATGATGCATTACTTTTGATTAATGAAAAGGAAAATGTGTCAGGAATTTGTCAGGAAAATGTGGTTTGATTCTGATTTTAAAATTTTGTTTGTTTTTAGTTAATTAACATGGAAATCAATTTCTTATTAACCAGTGAGAAACATCAAAAATATCAAAAGTGTGCCGAGTGCAAGTGATTATATGAAAACAATACTTTATTCAAAGTGAGATATATTTCATATTTCACTGAAAGCAAACATCATTTTCTTTTTCCTTTTATCTTTTGTAATATTTTGTAGTTTTTTTGTTGTTTTTTTTTGCATGAAAAGATATAACGCTATATCATATGAAATATTTTTACAGTAAAATTAAATGGCTTTAAATAATGTTATGGTCCATTCTACAATGAGTTGTAACAAAAAATGCTTCTATTATTTAACATACATGATGAATTTTGTACTTAACAGAATAAAATGTTCTGGAACAAAATATTATCCTGCTATTTGTTTAGCAATGGTTTCGTGCATGCACCATTCACTTTTAAGACAATTAATTTAAAACCATATTTATTTTAAACAAACATTTAGGAAATAGATTCCATTCTTTTAAAAAATTCATTCAATAATTTTTCCAGCAGATATATAGCTTTATACACTTTAAAACTAGATGGTATCTCCAAAAATTATTTTATTAAGTAAAGAGAGGTTGAAAGTTTCTTATGTTAAGAGATGCTGATAGTTTCTTATGAACTGGTTGTATCATTAAAATCATGCAATGTTTCATATTACAGAAGCCTTTAATGTTATTAAATGTATATATCAGTTAGCCAGTAGATTTAACAGTACATTGTACTTGTTTACATGGATGCAGCAGGGGTGGCAAAAGCAGAATTTCTTAAAAGATATGTTAAAGAAATGTTTTCAGATTCTTATAAAGTTATCATAAAGAATGTTTTCATATACATGTACCCAAAAAAATCATTTAGAGAAGTTTCTTTAAAAGAATTATTACCCATTAGCTTCTAATGAAGTTTACACAGCTATGTGAATGCTTCTATATAAACAAGTTTCCAAGTTTCTCATAAATTTGTAGATTGGAAAGTTACTGTAACACATTGATGTTTCTTTGTTTTGTCAGATATTATATGCAAGGTTTCTCAATTTTTTGTTTTTGTACATGTATAAACATTGCTATGTTTCTTATGAAATTGTCATGTAAAGCATTAAAGGTTTCTTAAATAGATACATTATGTCATTTGATTGTGCATTGAGTCATGCGAAATATTAATATATATGTGAATACAAATGTGTCATATGTACAAATGAAATGTTTCTTAGGAAATTTCAAGTGTGAAAATAAATGTATAGGTATTTTTAAAAGTTATACAGTGAAACCTGTGTAAAAGACCACAATTATTATAACCCTGCAAATAAAAGCCACCTTTTGATCACCCTTCATTGAATGAATGAAGCAAAGATAACCCTGCAAATAAAGGCCACTTTCTGATCACTCTTCATTAATAAAATGGAATAGGTAAAACTTCCAAATAGAGACCACTTAACTATTTAAATGATAATTTGTCTTGTGACCTTTGCTGACAGGTTTGACTGTATGTATCACTGAATTTTTTTTTTAGGAATTTGAGTATGAAAGTATTTGTGTTAAACATGGCACAATATTTTTGTTCAGAAATTTTAATATATTATGTGTTTTTAGCTACATGTGGCACATAGGAATTTTTTGTATGAAAATATATTGTTGAGTGTTTCTTTAGAAATTTTAATATATGTGTTTAAAAATACATGTGCCACATATGAAATTTTTATTTGAAAACAGGGTGTTTTAAAAACTTAGATACATGTGCCACTGACTGTTTCTTACGAACTTTTAATATATGTGTTGAAAATACATATGCCACTTAGTTCATTTTTGTATGAAAATACATGTATATTGTTTTAAAGCTTAGATACATGTAACACTGCGATTTTTTAAAGAAATTTTTAATATATGTGTTTAAAAATACATGTGCCACATATGAAATTTATTGTTTTAAAACTTACATACATGTGCAAATGCATGGTTCTTAAGAAGTTTGTAATATATGTGCCACTAAGGATGTTTTAGTATGAAAATATATGTATTTTAAAAAATCATAATGTACAAATGCAAATTCTTTTTTTAGAATGACTTCCATTTTTTCATGTCACACACTACTGTATAGGTGTAGGGGATTATATTATTTTAATGTCATAGTCAAGATTTGTTCAGGCAACTGTCTGATGCCATTGTCCTTGATAAATAAATACATTTACAAATAACCCCCAGTGTTTGTTGTTTTTAGCTCGACCTTTTTATGCCACCGCAGCATCTGCGATGCAGTTGCATATAGCGATTCACCTGGGTGTGTGTTTGTTTGTGTGTGTGTTATATAGATTATAGAGTGAACTTCAAAAATCTTCTTGTGAAAAACCACTAGTCCAATTTCAACCAAACTTGGCAGGATTGATCCTTGGGTGAAGGGCTTCCAAAATTGTTCAAAGAATTTCATTCCATGCAGAAATCTGGTTGCCATGGCAACCAAAAGGAATTATAAGAATAAATTTATAAAATCTTCTTGTAAAGACCCAAAAGGCCTTGAGCTTAGATATTTTGCACAAGGCATTGTCTGGTAGACCTCTACCAAGATTGTTCAAATTATAGCCCTTTGGTCAAAATCGGCCCCGCCCCGGGGGTCCTTGATTTTCAGTATATATAAAAACTTAAAATACCTTCTTGTAAGGACCTAAAATGCCTAGAGCTTAGATATTTTGCATAAGGCATTGTCTGGTAGACCCTTACCAAAATTGTTCAAATTATAGCCATGGGGTCAAAATCGGCCCCGCACCGGGAGTCATTGGTTTTCCTTATATGTATATAGTAAAAACTTATAGTAAAAACTTTAAAAAAAATTCTTCTAGCAATTGACAAATGCTAGAGGTTAGATATTTTGCATGAACCTCTAGCAAGATTGTTCAAATTATAGCCCTAGGGTCAAAATTGTCCCCGCCCCGGGGGTCATGGCTTTTCAATATATACATATAGTAAAAAATAAAAAAAATCTTATTGTGTAAAGGTACAAGGCTTAGAGCTTTAATATTTGTTAAATGATATCATCTATAGGTACTCTACCAAAGTTGTTCAAATTTTGCCTCTAGTGTCAAAATTAGCCCCGCCCCGTGGGCCATAGGTTTTCCTTATATGTATATAGTAAAAACTTAAATTAAAAAATCATTTTCTCTAAATTTACAAAGGCTAGAGTTTATTTTGCATGAAACATTGTGTAGTGAACCTCTAGCAAGATTGTACAAATTATAGCCCTGGGGTCAAAATTGGCCCCACCCCCAGGGGTCATTGATTTTTAAAAATCTTCTTGTCTGAAGGTACAAGGCTTAGAGCTTTGATATTTTGTATATAATATCATCTATGGGTCCTCTACTAAAGTTGTTTTAATTATGCCCCTAGTGTTAAAATTGCCCTGCCCCAGAGGCGATATTTTCCTTATATGTATAAAGTAAAAACTTGAAAATCTTCTTCTCTGCATTGACAAAGGCTAGAGGGTAAATATACGGCATGAGACTTTGCGAAGTGAGCATCTACCAAGATTGTTCAAATTAAAGCCCTGGGGTCGAAATTGGTTCCGCCCCTAGATTTTGATGATGTGACCTACTTTCTTGTCCTTTGATGTACAGCTATGAAATTTGAACCATGTGCACACAAAAGTAAAGTGAACTTTGATATCAGCTGACCTAGATTTTGAGTGTCTTACTGTGTTGTCCTTTGATGTTGTCATGAAATTTAGGCTGTGTGAAATATGACCTTCACCACCAAATTCACTAGATATATTCCTACTCTGATCTTTTATTGGATTAACAATAGATTTAACCACTAATATGATAATAAGAATTAGATAGGTCAGGGATCTATGCATTATGACAATCTTCAATTGTGTAGAAACAAAAAAAATCTGTTCCTACACTACTATTTAGTGTTGTATTAATGCGGTGGCATAGCATTTTTCTCAATGCAATCTTGTTTTGAATTGGTATTGTTACAGTCATGTCGAGCGTTGCCCCCGCCCGGCGGTGGCTCTTGTTTACAAAGACTGGTGTATGGGGTAGAGCGGTCGACTCTTGATACAGAGGGCTTTGGTTCGGATCTTGGTTAGGGATTTAACTGACTCAAGTGTTGGAGCAATACCTCTAAAAGCTTGCAGAAAAAATCGTGATCAAGTAGAAAAATATCGCTGTTTTCGCCGATTCCTACATTTTTCGGTCATGATTGTACAATGTATATAAATTGGTGTGAATAGATGAATAAGAGGCTTAAAGTGCATTTCGGCGGGTGAAAAGTTACTAGTGAGAATTTGTAGTCGGTCTAGGCTTTGATTAAACTGTAGGTCAACATTGACTTCTTATCAGTTCGACGTACCACTATTTATAAGGGAATGCTACATTATCCTTTGTGAGCTTGTACATATTTGAGAGCCTACAGTCAATTGTAAAAAAAAATCAAGCCATTTAGATTATGAGTCATCACAACTGATTTTCTAGATATCATGCAATCCAGTCAGAAGCGCATCAAAATAAATGACCAACGTCAATGACGTCATGTTCACATTGTGACGTAAAAACCATTACCGTCATAACGTCGTTGTTACTTTGGTTAACAACGTCAAAACAGATACAGCAATCTTTAGCAGCAGACAACAGTTTTTAAGCAGACGACAATTTTCAATGAAGAAAACAACACAAAGCGTTGAACGTCTTCAGCACATGTTAAAGTAAGTACGGATATAGCATTTAAATTGTATTTTATACATGAATGAGATACGTAATTGATGTGCATTGTTAGTTTTGGCAAATTATGTGATTCGTTTTCTTCCAAACCAATAATTCATCCAATAGAACATACCAGATCAAGTAAAATACATGCATTGACATAAGGCAGTGCATTTGAGATATTCCTACCAGAAGGAAAGCTGTTTTTTAACACTTGCCTTGCTAAATATCTTAATCGGATTTGGCCACTTTTCAAAAAAAAAAAGTCAACAAAAAAAAAAACAACAGAAAAACACAAAAAAACGAAGAAAGAAAAACAACAAACAAACAAAAGAAAACTAATAAGATACTAGTAAGTACTAACTAAATAGCGAACAGTGCTGACAATGATCTGAATATATGGATGTGCCGCCTGCTTCTTGACTGCACTGATTACATGGACAGCATCTCGTCGCCCTAATTCCATAATGATGTAAGTCGTATTTTTACCATTTTGAGAAAATCGACTTCAAAGTTTTAACAGGCTATATCTTCACACTTACTCAACCAATTTTTATATAAAATACATCATAGTGTGCAGAATTATTTTAACTTTTACCCTTTTAATTACGAAGAAGTTCCTGTAGATAGTTTTTTAAAAAATCAAAATAAAAAAAATGAAAAATCAATGAAAAATATATTTTATTGACAAAAATACAAGAACCAGAATGCTGTAATAAGTTACAGCAATGTGACCCTAAAATATCATTACATTTGGGAGTTAAAACAGTGTGAAATAATGACTATTTTACTGTTTTATACTGAAATTATATTAAATTTAGACGTTACTAGAAATTGAATGCTTTAACGAATAGTCTGGATCCACATTTATTTAGGCACCACAGAGCATGTAATGTGATCAGGATCAAAACAGTAAATTTAGTCTTAAAAGTCAAGAATAGAAATCCAAACAATGCAGTGAAGTGTGAATAGCCACGAAAAGGCATTTTAAGGTTGAAATTGAACTCGGGCTTCATTATCTTATGACCATTTACATGCAATAGAGACATAGATAAATACAGAATCCCTAAAGAAAGCCCAACACGGCAAAATTGAAAATGTTGCAGGCTCGGTTTGATTGAGCCTGTTCATGGACGGTACTGGAAAGTGCAAGTAACCGTCCACGCCCCCAAGCACCGGCTTAAGCAGAATTCAACATTTAACATGAACTGGTAAAATTTAGAATTTTGAAACATCCGCAGATGTGTTCATATGGCGGTTATCATGGAACCTTCAATGTGACACGTTAGTGCCATTCCATGAAAAGCGGCATATGGTCCCCAAGTAAAAAAATGCGTGTGCCCTAAACGAGAAAACAATGGGCGGAACTAAATAAAATGGAATTTTGAAAGGGGATCTGAGGTTATGAAGCCTGCGTATCACAGATAAGACGTCAAAAGACCAATTTAAAAAGCAGGCAACATATCCTAAGGGTGATTCAACATTATTCAAGTAGGAATATTGGAACCACCCAACTAGAAAATGCCAAAAAGTTGAAACTAGAAATACCACAAGCACAACAATAATGTCGTGCTGAACGATCTTCAAGGAGCCTTGAGCCTTGCAAATGAACAAAAATAATAAAATATTACTGATTTTGTAAATGTATCACATTGAGTTAAACAAAATGAACTCAAAATTTAGAAACATCATCATTGTATTGATATTTACCACAATAAATAGCAAAACTTTTATCATATGATATGCTATTTTCACATTAACACTGTACACTATAAAATATTTGGAATTCAGATTTACTTTTGGTTTTGTTTATTATATCATTAATTCATTCCAAATTCAATTTTGAATACCTGTTTCTTGCATACAAACAGCATGATGAACACAATTTGACTTACAAAACACACAAAAATGTTTGAAAGATGTAACTGCTTAAACTTTGAAAAACAACATCAACAATGAGTTCCTTTCTCTGTAACATGAAAAAGAATAAACCTATGTATTTTACTTTTATAAGTACAGCATTACTTAATGTTTTGTTTAAAAAAAAGAAAAATATGAAACACAACTCAAAGCTCACAAATTTTCAAAGATGCTACAAATCTGGATATGGTGTTTCAATGAACCACTGTACTTCAATTACTACATGTATTTATATATCAAGTGGCATACAACTTCTTTACATACAATAACAATTAAGTATACGTTTGCTTTTAATGTTTTTAACTGAACTGTTTACATCAATAACTCATTCGTATAAATACAATGCTCAATATCTAAGAGTTTCAGTCAAATATTAATTCTATTTTACTTCAACAAACGTTTGATGAATTAAATATGACAATTTAAAGATTCCTTAATGTTTTATATGGTCTCAAGACTTTGTAACATTTTTTCACAAAATCATTTTTTCTACGTTTCAATCGAATGACGCGTTTTAACTAAGCATATTTTTTTTTTCTTTTTAAAAAATAGTTTTGGTAATGGATAAATTTCAGTTCAAAGGTTCAAATCACTTGATAATTGCAGGTAGTATTACCTTACGAGTTGGAAGTAGATGTACAAGAATTATTTGTAACTTAGAAACTTAGATTTATTTGCTTTGCATGTTCCAATTACATAAGAAATTTTAGCATAAGATTGAAAATGATTATGTTGACAAAAAGGTAAAGACTGGCACCCTGTTGATTTATGCAAAATAGCTGAGTAGGTCAACAGGGTGGCATTCTGTTTAATAAGTATTTGTTGTGCAAATGACGTCTCTTATTCAACGCTAAATGGTGCATCTGAGACAACTCGATCTCAGCTTTTAAACTTTTGTTATAGGGATATTGTCAACTTTAACCCACCATATAGTCTTTGACGTTTGGGCGTACTGTTTTAAGAACACAAACGAGTGATGTAGGACTGAACACTTCTGCCATTTTAAAAGTGTTTTGTCTTTCTTTCTATATGACAGTGGGTATTGTTAACCACTCTGGATTGCATAATGCCTTGGACAGCAAAACTTTTGATATTTTTGTGATGAAAGTGCAGAATTTTGAAATTATGAATTATGAAATATACATGATTAACCTAATTTAACATCAGTTATGAGTGGTAAAGTTATATGTGTAAATTTTATTCGAGTCACTTAGCACCAGTACGGTAATTTGTCTTATATAAGTAAAGAAAAACATGGTACAAAATGTAACAATGGCAGTAGCATGTTTCTATTTGATGAGTTTTGTTTGTAAGTTAAAAGTATAAACAATCTTATGCAAAACCTGATTGTCCGTATTTAATGGTAACATTGATCAATCAATCATATAATCAATCACATATCAAGTTATTAACATCTGATACTTGTGAATATTGAAAGTTTGTATCAATTTATCCGATTTCCATGCTATCCGAATTTCATGACACAGCATGGTGCTTTGAATTTGGCTCAAGGGTTAAGAGTAGTTATTATTTCTTTTTAAGGTTTGAAACAGTTCAATAAAATATTAATATATAGATAATTAGATAACATCTAAAGCAAAACACTTACATGTTATCAAGAAATATAAAATGTAAAATGTCATTCATGATACCTTGAAAAATCTGCCATTTTGTCAAAACAGCATCATGTGACTAGAATCTTAACAAACTATTGGTTCAGAAGTTACGATATTATGGACTGTATTTTTATCACAATTTTTGGACTTACAGCACTCTGACCCATTCAATATATTGCTACAGGCAAGAACCAGGGTGATGTTGTTCTTACCATTAGATAGAGAAAAAAATTACGAACATTTTGATACCAAACACTCATTTTTTTCAAAATTGGAGTTACGACACTCTGGAATTAGGACGACGAATTCTGTTACTGCAGACATGCTAAATGTTTAATTGAATACACATGTAACTGGAAAGAAATAGTAATATTTTAGTTTACAATTACATGTATGTTCCTGTCAAAACTCGCTCACTCGTGATGTCAATAGATAAAATGTCATTAACTTTGTTTTGCAGACATGCATCCAGAAAGAGGAAGCGGTCTTGCAGTCCCAATAACGAGGCTCTACCCCCAGCAAAGCGTCCACGACTGAGGGTCATTACTCCTCCTCCAATGCCAAGGTCATTTTTGAGAAAGGTCAAAGCGTGGCAAGACCGGAAAAGAAAAATTGAATTAGGTAATAATTAACATTGGAGAACTTTCAAAATTGTGTCATTTAACTTTATAAACCACATACAAACTTTGTTTTTATATTTCAATTTTAGTACAATTAAATATTTTCCTTATAAACCACATACATACTTTGTTTTTTATATTTCAATTTTAGTACAATTAGATATTTTCTTTTTAAAATTGATACATAAAACTTTGGATATTAGTTGAAGGCAAAACTATTCTTCGATCAATGAGTTTAAGAATTATGTTCTTACATATTAATATGTGTTTTATATAGAATAAATCTGCAAACAACTAAAATTCCTGAAGCAATCTTTAATCAATTGATCAAACTTTCTTGAAAATGCTTATAGAGTACATGTCGGTGTCTTTTTTGCAGGTATTGCCCTTTACTTTGAGGCACAGAAGCGAAAAATGGCCGAGGCATTTCCTACACCAGCAGCGCCCTCTATTTCTCTATCAGAAGAAGCTTTAGCTGGTATTAGAGCAGCCGAAGATTTGATTGAAGAGATAACAAGAGAGATTGAAGCATCAGCTCCTAAACGCCGTGGAATCATTAAGAGGTTGGCTTCCAACGATGTTGCAGACGACAGTTTGGAGGTGAAGGTCATTCCTGTGAAGCGTCGTGGAGGATGGAGAAAGAAGGGAGAGAGGCGGTTTTGAATTAAGTGGGAAAGAAACACACACAAAAAAAACCATAAAATCTTACAAAACAAAAAGACACTACTTCAATGTTTCAAAATGAGACAGAGGGGTAACTAAAGGGAAATCAACACCATTTTTTTGACTGAGCCTGTGCATAAGAGAAATGCATTTTCAGTGCAAATCAGAAAATATGAAAAAAAAGAGAGATCAACAAGGAAGGGCGGCATTCAATGAACGCATCCCCCAATCACAGGATCACCGGCAAGGAGCCCGGCAGGACACTTCATGATCCCAAAAGACTAGAAAAATATAGAAAACTTTTTGCGTGGGACATTAACGATTAAGGGACACAGATACTCCTACTTTACATTGATTGGTTTCCCATATAATTCACTTATAGAGTTATATTCTTTAATTATAAAAAAAACCAACAAGAATTCAATACTCTATCTGTTTGTTTTTTACTTTTTATCTTTATCTATCTATTTATTTCTGTTAAATCAAATGACACATTGATCGATTGGGAAATGATGTGAAAGCGCGATGGCACGATGATGGAAATGCGATGGTACGATGGTGAAAACGCGATGGCGAGATGGTGAAATCGCGATGGAACGATGGTAAAAAAACGATGACACGATGGTGAAAGCGCGATGGTACGATGGCGAAAACACGATGGCGCGATGGTACGATGGTGAAAACGCGATGGTACGATGGTGAAAACGCGATATAACATTGCTTTTTCACCATCGTGCCATCGCGATTTCATCATCGTACCATCGCGTTTTCATCATCGTACCATTGCGTTTTCACCATCGTACCATCATGCATTGCGGGTACAGACTAAATAAAAAATCACGTTTGTCCACGTGAACACCGTAATAATATAATAATGTATTGTTTGCTTTTGTATCTATGAATTCACTTGTGTTAGATGGTCTTTTACTTGATATATCGGCGTAAAACAAAAGTCACAAACTTTATATTTATTACATAAGATATTATGAAGATGAAGCCCTTGAAAACAACAACAACAAAAAAAACCCCACAAAAATAACCAAACAAAAAACCAAACAAAAAAAACAAACAAAAAAACAAAAAAAAACAACAAAAAAAAAACACAAACATTTACAGTAGCCGCTATTAAAATGTCGTATGTCATTTGCAAATTACATATGAATACCTTAAATATTCTCGGAATAAACGGTGCTGGTTTGAAAATCGCAACTTCTCGGTCCTTTCCGCCAAACTTCATTGTTGGCGGGCAACATGTCTCCCTTCTAGTAGCAGTTTTCAATCTTTAAATAAATGATCTCTTAGGATCAGAAAATCATTGTTTTACGGATTTAGATGCATTACTGCTAAATTGAGCAGACAATAGTGTTGCTAAAAACAACAACAAAAACAACAGAATCCTTAAAGAAAGCCCAAGTCAAAATTGAAAAAAATGTTGCAGGATCAGTTTGATTGAGCCTGTTTATGGAAGTTGGTGGTAACTGCAAGCTACCATACACGCCCCTTAGCACCGACTTAAACCAGAATTCAGCATTTAACATGAACTAGTAAACAGATACGCAGATGTGTTCATATGGCGGTTATCATGAACTTCAATATGGCACGTAAGTGCCATTCTATGAAAAGTGAGTATAAATATAAAGCCTGGCCTCAAGGTTATAAAACTTTTAATGAGTTCTGTCTCAAATCTCAAGATTATTATTGGTCAGTGAACATTCTGTGGCAATTTCTGACCAATCAAATGCCTGAGATCTGAGTTGAGCTATGAAAATTTCTCCATAACCTCGGACACAGTGTTTTCAATCCTGGTACCATAGCCAATGTCGTTCAGGAAAAATATCTTTGATCAATTTATATGTAGCATTTCCCAAAAACATATATAGATCTGCTTCGATGTTTATTAACGTCAATGACGTATTTACATTGTGACGTAACTGACGATATCGTCATAACGTCGTTGTTACTTTGGCTAACAACGTCAAAACAGAAACAGCAATCTTTAAAAGCAGACGACAATTTTCAAGCAGACGACAATTTATAATGAAGAAAACAACACATAGCGTTGAACGTCTTCAGGACATGTTAAAGTACGTACTTACATGTATTTTATTTAATGATTTGTTTCTTTTTTTCAAAAGCGGTCTGATTTGGAACAATCTAATTGAAATAATTGAACTGGATTTGTTTGGATTAGATAATGGCAAACATAGGTTGATCTATGCTTGGTTTCTTTCACAACACATATTTATCACTTTGTTATTAAATATAGATTTTTTTCGGACGTCATTGTCATTACTTATATCAGTTATATGTATTTTAAAAAATATTTTTCAGACATGCATCCAGAAAGAGGAAGCGGTCTAGCAGTCCTGATAGCGAGGCTTTACCCCCAGCAAAGCGTCCACGGTTGAGGGTCATAACCCCTTCTCCATTGCCAAGGTCATTTTTGAGAAAGGTCAAAGCCTGGCATGATAGGAAACGAAAAATTGAATTAGGTAATTATTCACATTGTAATTCTTTCTTTAAATTCATATACAATTTGTACTTCGCAAAATTAAAACAAAAAATGAATACAATATTAATTAATTTATAAATCTAAAGGCATGTTTCAATAATTGAAAATCTGTTCCGTTCCTTAAGGATACAATCACCAACTTGAATATACGAACAAAATTTAACATAAAAGGCAGTCTATGGTTGCGGCGCCAATTTAGCATAATACATTGTACAAAGGCATATTTGAGATTTTCGTTCACATATAAACCACTTCTGTGCACGTAACTAAGAACTTGTAATTCATTAATGTAAAAGTAAACTATATAATTAAATGGACCATAAAAATTATAGAACCTTATGTCCGCTTTTTGTTTTAGGTATCGCCCTTTACTTGGAGGCACAGAGGCAAAAGATTGTCGACGCAATTTCTTTACCAGCTGCGCCCTCTATGTCTCTATCAGAAGAAGCTTTATCTGGTATAAGAGCAGCCGAAGATTTGATTGAAGAAATAACAAGGGAGATTGAAGCATCAGCTCCTAAACGCCGCGGAATGATCAAGAGGTTGGCTTCAAACGATGGTGCAGACGACAGTTTAGAGGTCAAGGTCATTCCTGTGAAACGTCGTGGAGGATGGAGAAAGAATGGGCAGAGGCGATTCTGAATAAATTGGAAAAGAGACAAAAACACATAAAATCTTGCAAAACAAAAAGACGATACTTCAGTATTTCAAAATGAGACAGAGGGGTAACTAAAGGGAAATCAACAACATTTTTGACTGAGCCTGTGCATAAGAGAAATGCATTTTCAATGCGTATCAGAAAATATGGAAAAAAGAGATCAATAAGGAAGGGCGGCATTCAATGAACGCATCCTGAATCACAGGATCACCGGCAAGGAGCCCAGCAGAACACTTATTGATCCCAAAGGACTAGCAAAAATATAGAAAACTATTTGAGTATGACATTAACGATTAAGGGACACAGAGACTCCAACAACACATTGATTGGTTTCCCATATAATGCACTTATATTATTATATTCTTTAAGTATTCAAAAGAAACAACTGAATACTCTATCTGTTTGTTTGTTACTTTTTATCTTTATCTATCAATTTTATTTCTGTTTAATAAAATGACAAATTGATTGATTGGGTGAATGAAATCTGAAAGATTGATTGGTTCATTACCAAATTGATTGATTGATTGAATGAATGAATGAATGAGTGAATGAATGAATGAATTATTGAATGGATGAATGAATGAATGAATGAATGAATGAATGAATGAATGAATGAATGAATGAATGAATGAATGAATGAATGAATGAGTAAACGAACGAATGAATGAATGTCAATTCATTTGAAGATTACGGGCCTTAAGTTCGACATTGATTGTCAAGGGAACCACCGAAATTCCCAAACGAATTTTAATCGGGAGTGATTTGATATGTTTTATGGTTTTAAGCATTAAGAATAAAGACAACCGATAGCTAAGAACAATAACTATGGAATTAACAACTTTGCAAATATAATAACAATATAATGAATCCTTGATACAAAGAGACATAGAGCAATAGCAGTCACTGACATTCCCTAGTAAAATTTTGACATGACAATGCTAGAATCTGAGATACTTTTGTTCTGGGTCAGAATCTCTATTCTCATAGAGGGGAGATATCGCCCATACAATAGATAGCATACCATCTCAACTCAAAATACAATTATTTGGACTTTGAAATGTCTATGACATTAAATTACATGTATATCATATCGGTGTTGATTATATAAACACTAATGATTATGTTACCATAACAGATTGCTGCCAAAATTATAAATAGATTAAAGTTTATAATTCTTCTTACAAATATTTATTGGATTTTACGTTGTTTACTCGACACGAGAAGTTAAAACTTTACATGTACATGTATTTCTTATTTTCTTTTGAGGACAGTTTTTTTTATTGAAAGAAGTATACTTTGCAATTCACTGCATAAACAAATCAATAAGGAAATACTTTCGTGGCATGGAATGGAAATCTATTTACAAAAACACTTGAGGAATCTTGAAGTGAAGTTTTTATTCTACGAATTTAGATAATTTATGAAAAAAATTATATGAAAACAATTAGCTTTACAGAGATATGGCCCCATTTTTCTTTAGTAAACTGTTTTTTAATCGTGTTCCAAAATTACATTTTTTTCTCAGTGGCGGAAATTATTTATCGGACAGTAGTATTCGCTGTAGTACTTTGTTGTATTTGGTATTTTTTTTTTAGATTTTAAGTACATGTATTTATTTATATTACTAGCAACAGATAGTTAGCCTATTGAGGTAGTGATATTTAATTACCAAACACACGGACTATGTATTTTCAGCCAAAGCTACGGAACTTTGATTAACCATTAGATTGGCTATTCAATTACTATATTAAAGTGATCCGTAGTTCTGTAGATGGTTTCACCTATGGATCTCTTCAGCACATATAAAGCTCGACTGGAATTTTGACTTGCAATTCCATTATTTTGAGCCAATTCTTAATATATGTTTGTTTGAATGTTAAGCATCGTTTGGTGGTACGATTTTATGAAAACTTTGTATTTGGAATCCGTTTAGTGACATTTTCTTCATACGCATTACATATTTTGTGCACCACCCGGAGCCCCATGGGCGGAAACGAATATTCTCGATGGAGACTGCAGGAAAAATCCCGAACAAAAAATGAGTAAATATGGAACAAAAATGAGTAAATATGGAGAAAAGCAAGGAGGGTAGAATCACATTTTGATTTTCTTGAAAAGAGTTTTGAATTTTATATAGATGTTTAAAATGTTGAAAACTTACTCTGTGATTGCCCTATTTTCTCCTTCACATATCGAGTAAAAGCTCACATCTGGAGTAGCGGAAATTCACATACTAGTATATTTTTTACCGATGCTCAATTTTGAGATTCATATGGAGTTCCATCCCATGGATTATGTTATCAAGCTATTCTCAAGTAATTTTCAAAGTACAGATTCAGTCAGATTGACACACTCTTAGTTTACATAGAATTTATTTTTGTACAATTTTGTGTTAGAAGCTATTATATAAGCTTATGGAAACACTCTCGAATCATCAGTTCTAAGAAACATAATATAATAAGTGTAAAGTTTTATGCTAAATGAAAAAACCGATTGACCCTGAAGAGGTTTAAACCCACTATGCCAGAAACTCTTAGATTACTTAGAAGATTGCAGCATTTATTTTATTTTTCTAAAGTGTTGGAAGTGTATAATAACTTAAGAATCCATAACTTAAAAAAATCAGTGCTAAGCAATTTGTGTATTTTTTTTTTTTTTTTTTGCTTGCCCCTTTACACGATTCGAACACGCGCCGCCAGCAACCCATAGATTAATACAGACGAGTTAAACGACTTCTAGGTCAAGTTACAAATGGTGGCTTATTTGTGTCATTCGTGTTTTCGCCCCCCCCCCCCCACCCCCCAAGCGAAAAAGTCGAGAATTAACAAGTTAAAACGGCGGGGTCGCGGGCCCCCCGCCAAGCGAAAAGTCGAGAATTAACAAGTTAAAACGGCGGGGTCGCGGGACGAAAACACGCTAATTAGCGGGGCGTGGGGAGAAGATTTAATAAACTTCGCCCGCGCCCCCGCTAATTATCGTGTTTTCTTTCCCCGCCGTTTTATTATAATATTATTATAGATGTTGAAATATGAATTTTTTTCAAAACGGCTTATATTAAGTTTTTTGATATATATGATCAGTACATGTGCTGGAATTTACAAAAATGCATTTTATTTGAATTTTAAAGGCGTTTTGAGCTCCAAACCCCAAGTGTCTGTGTCTTGGCCTACATTGGTCGCATAGGTATAAATTGGCGAAGACGTTGACAGTCACTATATTATGCTTTTGTTACATAAAGAAATGATTTAATTTACACAAGAAAAAAACCCATATGGAACAAAGTAATATAATATCTCAACTAAATAAAAAGCTGTTTCATGCGATTTCGTTAACCAAGGGAGCTAACATTAACGTCTTATTTCCCTTTGGAATGACAGACTTCTTCCCCTTGCTGAGACATCTCTCTTTGTTGGCAGTAAAATATATAATCCTTCAAATATTTATACTTTTGGATTGAATTTATGCAGTACTTTTTTAAGGGGTTATATAAAGTGGCTATGCAACATAAATCATAAAATGTCAATTTTCCTTATTAAAAATGGTTATCACCGCAAACTATTTGATTTGTATTTTCTAAAGTTATACGTTACAATACGCTCGACCTAGAAAAAAATGGGCCTTATTTTCTCTTCATTTTTTCACTTTAGCTGAGACCGAGGGTTCTTTGTTTTGGATTTATATCAAACAAAATAAAAAAAATTTCGCACTTTCCAAAGAGAAACCAGTCGCATCAGTTCCCTTGAGGTAAAACACTTACCGCCCCTTCGCCACCAAGTGGAATAATTTAAAAAAGTGAAGCAGGAACTTGATAGATCACTTTTTCACAGCAAAATTTTCACATCTTGGGTTTTGAATTTGAGTCTCTGATCGTGTACACAGCAAAAAGAGCATACAAGTTACCGTCGACTTTCCCACTCGAAACCGGTTTATTTTGTTTGGCGGGTTTCTTGCCCTTAGAAAATTTAAGATTATCAATAGATAATAGTACATTCAAGAATTTAAAAGAAAAAAACATCCTATCACCCATATGGATATATAGAAGTGACAATGAAACCTTCTATATGACATTTTCGTTCTAATCCATGAAAATATATCATGAATATAACCCCGCTTATAACGATATTCAGGAGACTGTCGAATTCATATTGTTATATCCAGATTTCGTTATATCCGAGAGACAACCATTTGAAAACAAGAGTCGGGACCGCGCAACAGCATCGTTATAAGCGGTATATCGTTATAAGCGAAATCGTAATAAGCGGAGTTTACTATATCTTGATTGAAAGAATGTGTTTAAACCCTAAATGAGAAAACAATGGTAATGGCTAAACAAAGTTATTTGAATTGTGCACGTCAAGGAAATGTCCCAAATTAATGGTGATTATACAATACTTAAGCAGGTGTATTGGTCCCAATCATAGATCGAGAGAGAAAACAAAATGATATTTAAAGAACGAAAAGTGCCGTTAACATGCTAAAATTCTTAGCGGTCGCATGAATTTTTTTTCATTAAATATACGGCGACTTTTTTACGATCACCACACGGAACACAGAATATTCATTTGACAATAACAAGTTAAAGAGTGAACTTATAGCAGCATGACTCTAGATTCATGCTAATTATCATGAACATTTTTTTATTGTTACTGCAAAATCAGTGCTTAATCGCACATAAAGTGTAAATTATTACTTGAATCTTAAATATTTTTTACTTTTCTTAAAATCTTACTACATTTTTCTGAAGTTGAATTTTTATGAAACCTTTTTTGGCTTATCTGGAGGCATGCAGCTTTAAAGGTTTATATTAATGCATGGTTTTTACTAAAATTGTCATCACTTGTAAATCACTCAGTAGTTAAGATTTTAAGACCTAACTAAACTAATAACTGTGCGAATTTTACATTTTTATGATTTACAAGTACAAATGTACATGTACGAGGGTCTTAGAAATAAAACTATTAGATATGTACATGCACATTTGTATATATTTTCAAACTTATATTCCAGAGAATAGATGTTTTATGGCAATATCTTTTATGAACTTTTTCAACTTTCTTCTTAAAAACAACAACAAAAAAAAAACATTCATCATTTTTTAGGACAATGGCTGACTTTGGAGACCATGATCAAAATGCACCGGACATGCTGGCTGACCTTCAACTGCACTGGTCTCATAATCTTAGATGCCGCTTGCTGGCTAAGATTTAAGATATTTCTGGAAAAAAAATCGAAAACTTAGCGTGGTTACTTGTAAAAGATTATTATTACTGATATTAAGAAGTTTTGACTTATAAAATAATTTGCAGTTAATGACTGCATCCGAAATCGCCTATTTTTCAATTGTAACAGTTGCTTGTTTTATCTAGACCATTTAGTCATCGGTCAACAATTTTAACTCCGATTAGTGGCGGATTCAGGTCCGGGCTTCAGGGCTGCAGTCCCCCAGCTCGGCCCAAAGATACGTTTACCAGCTGGGTTGAAATATATTTTTGTCAGTTTCAAACTTTATTGGCTGTAGTGTAGTTCCCTTATCAAACATTTAAAGCTGTCATCCAGTTGTTAATCTCCTGCCTGGGGGCTTGGCAGAGATCTATATCTATCAACATGCTTGAATGACTTCAATGTTTAAACTGCATAAATTAATTGATTAGTTTATAACTTTTCTAAGGTCTAATGAAATTAATATTCAGGGATAGTCATCATAGTGGCAAATAGATGTGTTACATAGTATACCATATTTTTCCATTTTCTTTGAATTAAGCTATTATTTGTACATTAAAATATGGCGCGTTTTCCAAAGGTAATATTAAAGGAATTGCGTTTTAATAACAAGTTTTACTGAGATTTTTATTAAGATGAAATGATTGGTCATTTGCTTTAAATATCTCTTTTCGGCAGTTATATTTTTAAATAAAATTTAAATTGTACTGACCTCTTTAGTATCTAAAATGGATTCATTGATGGAAAACAATCTTAATGAATATTATAATATAGTGTTTAAAATTATTTTTTTTTACAACAGAAAGGCAGAATTTTAATAACACTTTACTTTGGAAAATCGCTATCATAAATAACTCTTATTCAGACGAGTAAATTGATCCGAGTCTATGAAATTATTTTTATCAACAGTCGCGCATACATTAGTAAGTGTGCTGTTATGTTGTAAATGCTAACTACTAAACACCAGGAAAATTCTATTTGAAAGACCCGGCAAACACTAACCTCTACAAAAAAAAAGCAGTGTGATGTAAAACCATCCTAAAGATACCATAAACAGCACTAGAAAGTCAAGGAAATAACACCATTTTCAACCTCATATTTAAAAAATTTCTTAGTCTATGGGAGGGGACACCCCTCCCAGCCCACCCCAATCACATACATTTTTCTTAATTCCAGTCTTAATATTCCTCTTAATATTTACAAAAGCAGTAGTATACACACATATAAGAAAAGCAAATTGCCGCTCATATATAATTAAGCTGTAAACACACCAATTACAATTTTTGTCACATGTACAAGATGCTGGCCCAATCTATAAACATGGTGACGCACAATTTTCTCCTGTATCGTTATTTTTGTCAAAATCTTCCACCCATATGTCAGTCCCACCCCGCCCCACGGAAACCATGATCTATATTCGTCCCTGCCAACCACTCCCCATGTTAATTTGTCGGGGAGGGGGTTACCAAGGAGAAGAGAGCCAAACTTTTTACCCTTAAAATATCTCTGTCTTGCGAGAGCAATGCAATGGTTTTGTTTTAGAGCCCAAAAATAGCAAGGGATATTTCCAATTATTGTAGGGCGAAGTCAATTTAACTGGGATTTTTTCTATATAACTGGAGAGGACCTTTGGTGGGGTGAATTTTCTAGAGGATTTAGTCTGGTTTGAAAAAAATCATTTACTAAAAATATGGGAAGAAGAAACCGTCTTTAACAGCTTAAATGAAAGAAAATTTGTCATAGAAATTCAATAATATTGAATTAGATGGATGAAAAGGATGACTGTGATAAACGTAGCCGACAATGACAGTCGTTCGTACAATATCGTGTATGTTTTACACCATACAGCACACAAGAACTGATGACGTATTACGCATGACTGAATCCCGGAAGAAGATTGCTGTATAGTATTTATCAAGAACTCCCAGAAACTAAGAGTACTTGCTTGATTTACTGCATAAAATCACTGTTGCACAGCAGTGCAGCAGAGTTTTAAAGCGTCTGCAACTGTAAGTTTGCATTTCCTTAACTTAACGATGAATACTTTGTATTTATTGACAAATTTCTACAATTTTTTTATCAGTAGTTTTTCTGCCTAGCGTTCTATATCTGTTGAAGGCTACATTAGTTCTTGATATTTTATGCTTCATTGCATTTTAATTATTTTGTTTAAAATGTATGGCATCAAATTTGCCAATGTTCACTAGATCAGGAGGCCAAAGATTGAAGTTGATGCATTCTTAATAAGTTAATTTTTGGAACAGAAAGTAGTAGGATTCTTGATTTCTTGTAAAACCTTGACAACTTAAGTTTCAACTTTCATACATGTGATATGAGCAATCTCCTGGATTCAACCCTTTGTATTTTTTGCAGGAGTAAAACTATTATCCTCAAGGTACTTTATACCGGGAGGTACTTTGTACCGGGAATGTCCAGATATTACAAACAATACTTACATAAAAAATTTCTTTTGTATGCAAGTGTTTTTCACATTAATTTCATACAAAATATAGCATTTTTTGAAGAAAATTCAAAGTTTTAATAACCCTATTCACATAAATGTGTTTTACGTATAAAAACCAGTAATATTGCTAACGATTTGGACCCAACATGATATTTTGAATGTGTGTGCAAATGCTTATCAAATTGTTACCCTTTTACTGTGTGATAACTGATAAATATTGAATAGAACTTTAGTATCATTAACAGTAATGGACCATTTACATATGTTTTTAACTTTTTATTGATTGCTTAAAAGTCATTCCTGGTATTAAGTACTTAAAACCAAGACGGCTGCCACTCATATGAGGTTATTAACAGAACTATCTTTTTGATGTATAGTTAAAAATTTCTTTTGGATGATTGTTATTTTCATCAAAAAATGGTACTTTCTACAGAAAATAACTATGTTATCCTAGATTTTTTCTGTATTATATGATGGTGGGCCTAATAAGGCTTACACTCCCGGTAGATAGTACAACCAGGATATATGATAAAGCCTTAAAGGAAACAGAATGAATCTATATATCCTCAAGGTATCCTGGTTGTACTATCTACCGGGAGTGTAAGCTTTATTATGTCCACCATCATATAATACAGAAAAAATCTAGGATAAAATAGTTATTTTCTGTAGAAGGTACCATTTTTTGATGAAAATAACAATCATCCAAAAGAAAATTTAACTATACATCGAAAAGATAGTTCTGTTAATAACCTCATATGAGTGGCAGTCATTTTTGTTTTTAGGTACTTAATACCAGGAATGGCTTTTAAGCAATCAATAAAAAGTTAAAAACATATGTAAATGGTCCATTACTGTTATTGATACTAAAGTTCTATTCAATATTTATCAGTTATCACACAGTTAAAGGGTAATAATTTGATAAGCATTGCAAGCACATTCAAAATATCATGTTGGGTCCAAATCTTTAGCAATATTACTGGTTTTTATGCCCCCACAATGTGGGAGCATATAGCGTTGCACTTGTCCGTCCGTCCGTCAGTCCGTCCGTCCGTACGTCCCGATATCTTGTGAACGCAACTCCTCTTAAACCGCATGGCAGATTTTGCTTAAACTTACAGGGATAAGCAACCTTAATGTGTAGATGGTAGTAAAGGAAGGAATTTTCGCTGCGACCAAATTTAACAGAATTATGGCCCTTTGTTGAGTTTTTCACTAGATACTATGTAGAAATTTTGTGAACGCAACTCCTCTAAAACCACATGGCAGATTTTGCTTAAACTTAAAGGAATGAACAACCTTAATGTGTAGATGGTAGTAAAGGAAGGAATTTTTGCTGCGACCAAATTTAACAGAATTATGGCCCTTTGTTGATTTTTTCACTATATACTATGTAGAAATTTTGTGAACGCAACTCCTCTTAAACCGCATGGCAGATTTTGCTTAAACTTACAGGGATGAACAACCTTCATGTGTAGATGGTAGTAAAGGAATGAATTTTTGCTGCGACCAGATTTTACAGAATTATGGCCCTTTGTTGATTTTTTAACTATATACTATGTAGAAATTTTGTGAACGCAACTCCTCTTAAACAGCATGGCAGATTTTGCTTAAACTTACAGGGATGAACAACCTTAAGGTGAAGATGGTAGTTAAGGAAGGAATTTTCGCTGCGACCAAATTTTATAGAATTATGGCCCTTTGTTGATTTTTTCACTATATACTATGTAGAAATTTTGTGAATGCAACTCCTCTTAAACAGGATGGCAGATTTTGCTTAAACTTCCAAGGATGAACAACCTTTATGTGTAGATGGTAGTAAAGGAAGGAATTTTTGCTGCAACAAAAATTTAACAGAATTATGGCCCTTTGTTGATTTTTTCATTATATAATATGTAGAAATTTTGTGAACGCAACTCCTCTTAAACCGGATGGCAGATTTTGCTTAAACTTCCAGGGATTAACAACCTTAATGTGTAGATGGTAGTAAAGGTAGGAATTTTTGCTGCGACCAAATTTAACAGAATTATGGCCCTTTGTTGATTTTTAGTTTTCAACTTGTGGCACATGTAGTCCAAAAAATATTTGACCTAGAGTCATAAGATTGACAGAACAGTGGCGTGTGGGGGCATCCGTGTCCTATGGACACATTTCTAGTTATACTTAAAACACATGTATGTGAATAGCGTCATTAAAACATTGAATTTTCTTCAAAAAATGCTATGTTTTGTATGAAATTAATGTGAAAAACACTTGCATACAAAAGAAATTTTTTATGTAAGTATTGTCTGTAATATCTGGACATTCCGGGTACAAAGTACCTCCCGGTATAAAGTACCCTGAGTATTAAGTACTTAAAAACAAAGATGGCTGCCACTCATATAAGGTTATTAACAGAACTATCTTTTTGATGTATAGTTAAAATTCCTTTTGGATGATTGTTATTTTTGTCATAAAATGGTACCTTCTACAGAAAATAACTATTTTATCCTAGATTTTTTCTGTATTACATGATGGTGGGCCTAATAAGGCTAACACTCCCGGTAGATAGTACAACCAGGATACTATAGAGTGAAACTGAGCACTGAACTAATTCTATTTAAAGATGAACCAGTTTCGCTCTAAGCCCTCGATACATACTCCTGGTTTCGACCTTGTTTTACAGGATATATTATAATTGATATCCTGGTACAGTGGTAGGATCCCAAAAATCCTGATGTTTAGACACTCATCCTGATTCCAGATATCAGAGATAGAAATCCTAAAATTCGTCTCAAAGTAAAAGAAAAAAATAAATTGCCCATGTATAATTTCAACACAGCAACTGTTTTATAAATGTAATCTTTGCTTTCCATGCAATGGTCAGTGGTAAAGGTATCTCTGTCTATATGCTTTGGTATTGCATAATAAAACTTAGTGCTGTTAATTGACAGCAATGTGACATAATAAACAGTTCCTTGGGACTAGTCACCTTTGTTCTTAGTAGAAATTAATCTAAGCACTTGTCATCTCACTTTTTGAAAGGTTTACAGTTTACACACTGTAATTCAGACTTTATTTGGAAGTAGGTGGTACAAGCTGTGTCACAAGGACCATGTAAATTTACATCTACAAATTGGCATAATTATATATTAACACTTGGCACCTCCTTTGATTTTTGATGAGTGCCACACTAAGAGTAAAGTTAAAGTCAAATCATTCATACTAGGTCATTACAAAAGCTGTTTGAAATGTGACAGAAGTTGGCAAGTTTTTAATTATTTCTTTATGTCTTTCACACTAATTTAGGTATTACAGTATACATTTATTTTATATTTATTCTTCAAAACTTTTAATTTAAAAATGGAAAAAAAATTTGCATTTGTTTAAAAAAAATTATTTTGGTCTTATTCTTCTTGTGTAAACTTGTTTCATAATGTAAGCAAGTATTAACTGTCTATAGATCATGAATCTGGCCATAGAATGGCTGGTCAAGTGGGGATGTCATTGAATATCACGATATCCATACATGTATATCATCAGTATATAATAGCAATTCAAAATTCAGAAAATCAATACCATTAAAACCCGTCTTCGTGTTTAGTGAAAATACTTCCCTATTTTGTGTAAAGGGAAAAAGCCTAGTTTGAACAGTGGATTTAAGTTTAAGATATAAAACCAAGAAAACATAGTTTCTCTTAGTATGTTGCGTTTGTAAGCATATTAAAAACTAAGTATAAATGTTTAATGATGTAGGTCATTGGCTATAATTATGGGTTTGCTCTGGGTTTATGAGGCTTATCGGAGGGGTGTCCATGGACGAATGTTAAGGTCTTTGACTTTAAACCACTTGCATCTCACTGCTGTGGGTTTGAATCCTGACAGGGACTTAATTCCAGACTTTGGATTCTTTTATGTGAGGAAGATATCCAGCTAGTTTAATATGGTGGTTCTACTCAGGTGTCTGAAATAATACACAGAGAGGGCCACCTGAGGTCTTTCTCCAGCAGTAAAAGCTGGAAAGTGACCATAAAACATATACTGTGTTAGTGTGACATAAAATCCAGCCAATGAAAAAATGGGGAAAAAATCAATCAGAAGGTTTTGACAAACAAGCTGATATGAATAAGACGAAAGTATAAATCAAGCTCTTTGTGACAAAATTTGTGCAAACTTTTCTTTTTATAGAATTAGTGAAATAGATTTTAAAAAAAATTTAAAAGAAACTTTTTTAAGTAAAATCCCATTTCGGAAACACCCCTTAATTTAAAAACCTATTTTAAGGGGCACCCTGAAACGATATTGTATTTTGTTTTTTTCGAAAGATGTTTTTAAAAAAAAAGTACTAAATGATCCCTTTTTTTTTAAAATTTTTTTCATATATATTTAATTTATTTTTGTTTTATTTTAAAGGGTTAATTTAAAAGGGTTTGACTCCAATTTTTGTATCAAATATTTTTAAAACACAGGGCCACTTTTCTTTAAAATGTTGCTACAAAATTTTCTTCAAAATTTAACTTTTCCCAACAGCTTTTTTAAACGTCTTTTTGATTTATAAAAGGTGGGAATGAGCCCGAGCCCAAAAATTTGTATTTAATTTTCCAGCGTGGGGGTCTGATTTTAGCAGGGAATTTTTCCCTTTATCTCTTTGTCTCTGAAGATTGGGATTTCTACCAAAAGTTAGATCATTCGAAAGCCAATGCCCCCCACTATTCATAATACATTTGAATGGGGGTCGGGATATATGTAACAAGAAGGGGTGTCTGTGTCTGAGTGGTTAAGATAGTTGACTTCAAAGTTGCCACTTGCCATTTTCACCACTGTATGTTCTAGCCCCCACAAGCGTCTTGGATTATGCATGTGGGGGGAAAACTAAACCAAACTTTGCTTACGGAAAATCGGTGGTTTTCCCCAAGGGGCCCTTTTTTGCCTGAAAAAAATTTTTAGAGAGAGGCACCTGAGGTATTCCTCCAACTGTAAATATGGAATATCGCCATGAGACCTTTACTGTGTTAGTGTGATGTAAAACCTAACCCCAAAAAAATATTGACTGGGGTATAATTGATGCACCACCATGATCTTCCCTGTATAAAATTTTAGAAGTAATAATCAAAATAACGTATCACACATTGTTATCATTATCTTCAAATTTATTCTACTTCTAAACGCTCACTGATTGCTACTGACCAACTTATATAAAAATGTTTCAGTCTGTAAAGATAATAAATTGGTTTAAGTGCATCAATTGAAAGATTAAAAGTTGGGAATGCAGAGGGCAAGTATATGTACTTAAAAAATTGACAAGATAAAGATGTAAGTCATTATGTTACCATTTGATTTTGACGATGCCAGCATAATTATATACCGGTAGCCTGGGAATAAATTTGTGGTGGCAAGTCATTGTTTCATTGACAGAGATCGAAAATTCCACTTGTCCGCTCGTAATTATGAGTAGAATTTATGAGAACTCAATACAGGATGAGTAGAAAAACATTAACTGCACATTTGATTTAGAAGCTACTCTTCTTGCAGGATAAGTGACTTTGAAAATATTTTTCGATGCCTGCTTAATCAAGAAAGTTTACATTCATCGCTTAGTACTAGAAGTACTGGTTGGTTTCAGGAACGAATTTGAGAGAATTTCAATAAGTTTAATAAATCTTCCCAAAAATTGGGAGCTTCGGGTGGATAGGGCGGGGAAAAATGAGTTTGGACGGTTTTGTTTGAGATTTAATTCCATTTTTCCCCAAACCACTTCATAATTGGGGGATTACAGAAAAAAATTTATTATTTAACCCCCCAGGCTTTTTCTTCTTTGGCCTAAAAAACCAATTTACTTTTATAGGGTTCGTTGAGATATTGAAAACCCGTCAAGCTTTTAGTTTTTTCCGTCACTATTGTTCTTCTTTCTTCTATTCATTTATTTTTTTTGGGACTTTATACTACAGATACATATTTTTTTTCTCTCTTTAATTTTTCTTTTTTAACCCGGGCCAAAAAAATTTCTGGGGAAGGGTCGCCCCCCAGCCTTTTATTTTTTAATTGGGGAAAAGGGTCTCAAATTTATCAAAAACTTTAACAAGTTTTTTCAAAAGAAAAGAAAAAAGCAGGGGAAAAATAAGGCAGTAAAACTTTAATTTTAAAAACCCTCATTTAATTTTGTTCTAAATTCTATGGGGAATTTTGAGGACCAAACTAAGAAAAAAAGAGACTAGTTTGGTTGTGGAAGCAGCCTATATTCGGCCTCTACAAAGAAGGGTTTTCTGGCCCTGTGAGCTGTCAATATTCCTGTGATAATCATAGATTAACTGTAAACATATTCGAGCCGGGTGCAGATTTTTCGGACACGTCATTGGACCTTTCAAATCTTTAAATTGGTACTTTGTCACTTTAATAATTACCTTGTTTCTGGCCGGAAGTCTGCACAGCCGCTTTTCAAAATTCAGACTGGCTCGAGGCTAACTAGGTATACAAACATTGTATATTCATTGCATATTGTGTACAATTTAATCAATTTTATTTCAGATGGGGTTCGGGACAGACTTCCAGGGCCGCGAGTCCCATGATGCTTTGCTACGGATTCAAGACACGGAAATTCGTCTGCTCGAGAATATGAAAGTATGCCTGCAAAAAAGAATCGATGGCGATCGTAAATATCTCAACTCGATTACTACGTTCGTTCAGATGGCCATGAAAATGGAGGAGACAGAATATCATTCCTATTGTTCTGTGTTTAAGGTAAAACGTTGAAAAATTTACCCTGAATTTTTGTAATGAACTTGCCTTTCTTTGAAATCGGAACAGTCCATTTGAAAATCGAAGGATTTCAATATGGAATTTGTGTCTGGTCAGACTGCATGAAAGTGTAGACAGACTGGGCTTCAATATTTGTGAAAAAGGCTAAACATTATTGGTTGTGGTCGGTTTAGGGTCAAATTTTTCAAATACCTTTTCAGAAGGGTGACTTATAAATCAGGGATTTTTATATTTTGGTGCTAGGAGGCATGTGGGATGTATCATTTTATTGCATTATCCCTCATAATAAGACTCATTTAAACTGGGGCTGCGATTTCCATGTAATTTTGTTGTGATTAATGCTTCCGAGGGATCACAATTTTTTCAGATTTTTCTCTGATTGGCTAATGTAATTGATTTGATAAGAAAGGGAGCAGTGTTCCAAATAGGATAAATCATAAATCAGGATACTGCTTATTTCCTTGAGCAAGAGATTTACTATACATTGATACTGTATCATATACCACAACCAAGTCTCTGCTTATAGCAGCCCAGATAATGTTGAAAGTCTTCCATGGGAGGTGGGGGGGGGGGAATGTTGAAAAAATCAGTGAACATGCCCAATGGCCATGTCATGATGAAACTTATAGATTTATGTTTTCTACATACTTGTACTAGGTCATTCATATTTAATCTACTGTTCACAAGTGACATAATGTCTTTTCTACTCATAGTCTTAAGTATGATTTCCTCTCCATTGTTTTTCCTTTCACAGAAATATTTTATTGTTATGTTATCAGTATATACATGTATGATAATCTTAAGACTTACTGTATGGTCTCAGTATATACATGTATGGTAATCTTAAGACTTACCGTATGGTCTCAGTATATACATGTATGATGATCTTAAGACTTACCGTATGGTCTCAGTATATACATGTATGATAATCTTAAGACTTACTGTATGGTCTCAGTATATACATGTATGATAATCTTAAGACTTACCGTATGGTCTCAGTATATACATGTATGATAATCTTAAGACTTACTGACTGTATGGTCTCAGTATATACATGTATGATAATCTTAAGACTTACCGTATGGTCTCAGTATATACATGTATGATAATCTTAAGACTTACCGTATGGTCTCAGTATATACATGTATGATGATCTTAAGACTTACCATATGGTCTCAGTAGTATACATGTTTGATAATCTTAAGACTTACCGTATGGTCTCAATATATACATGTATGATAATCTTAAGACTTAACGTATGGTCTCAGTATATACATGTATGATAATCTTAAGACTTAACGTATGGTCTCAATATATACATGTATGATAATCTTAAGACTTACCATATGGTCTCAGTATATACATGAATGATAATCTTAAGGCTTACCGTATGGTCTCAGTATATACATGTATGATAATCTTAAGAATTACCGTATGGTCTCAATATATACATGTATGATAATCTTAAGACTTACCGTATGGTCTCAATATATACATGTATGATAATCTTAAGACTTAACGTATGGTCTCAGTATATACATGTATGATAATCTTAAGACTTACCGTATGGTCTCAATATATACATGTATGATAATCTTAAGACTTACCGTATGGTCTCAGTATATACATGTATGATAATCTTTAGACTTACCGTATGGTCTCAGTATATACATGTATGATAATCTTAAGACTTACCGTATGGTCACAGTATATACATGTATGGTAATCTAAGACTTAACGTATGGTCTCAATATATACATGTATAATAATCTTAAGACTTACCGTATGGTCTCAAGTATATACATGTATGGTAATCTTAAGACTTTACGTATGGTCTCAGTATATACATGTATGATGATCTTTAAGACTACCATATGGTCTCCCATTTAAACTTTCTTTGAGCAAGAAACTTTACACCTGTGCATTGTTAAGTACTGGTTGGTTTTTTAGGAAACCGGATTGACAGATTGTAAATGATGTCTATAAGCTTATAGCTTCCTAGTACAAATTCAAACTAAAATAAATTCAGTGTAAACAAGAAAATTATTGATTAAGTTCACTTTACTGTTACAATTTTACCTTGGCACAAGCTGTTAATTATTGTGTCTTAAAGGTCTGCTGCCAAGAGCAGACATGTTTTCCTGTTTTAAATAGATTTTTATATTATGTAGATTACAATAAACATGATAAAAAAGTGTTTTAAGATGTCCTTATAATAACAAAAAATGTGATTTAGATAGTTGTATTTTTCTGTAACGAGATTTTAAGATGGCCTTATATACAAAAAACGTGATTTAGATAGTCATTTTTTTCCATAACAAGATTGGTAATTTCTGCCGCCTTTTTCGCTGATGAAGTAGGAATATCCCTAACTAGCCATGTCAGTCATTCAAGTGTAAACATTTCCCGCAAGTCCATTATCTGAAATAGATTTTACAGTTGATCCTGGAAAATTATTTCCTTTGACATAAAAAACAAACGTAAGTAAATTACAAGAAAGAATTTGATATATTTAATGTTAATATTATTTAACATATTGTACTTCTAAAGCACTGCCCCAATTAGATTACAAGTTTCTTTGTTTGGGCCGTTTAGGGCTTTAAATAGTTAAACTCCCCCCTCTTTGCTTTGGGGGTTTGGGAAATTCCTACCGGGGATTTAGTTTATTTATGTAGGAACCCAAAATGGGTCTGCTAGCATACTGTATGCTGTGGTTTTACTCTGGTGTCCGTTCATGCCTGAAATAATGCTAAGAGGGGCACCTGAGGTCCTTGTCCAACAGTACAGTATGCTCAGCATGGATTATATGCCTATTCCGCAAAATTTGGAGCAAATTTCCATTCATGGTGAATCTCATTCGTGGGGTCCCACACGGGGTTTTGGAATATCCATCATGAGTTTACTGGTAAATATGGGAAAATTTCACCAATATGACCTTAACTGTGTTGACTGCAACCCATAAAACTGACCTTCTTTAAGACAACAAATGTTACTTCTTCTTTCAAGGCCTGGAATACAGATAAGTACGAAGCACCAGAACAAGTTAGTAGAAGTTACTTCAATTTAGGTGTAGATGGTCTAACTACTTAAAGTTATGGAGAAAAATAACGACAGTTATTTAAGTGACAAGAAAGCAGCTAGAAAATCGTACGAAGATGAAAGAAATAGGTTGGAGAAGGAATTTACACGAGTTAGTAAAAGAAAAGTTGTATTGATGTTTTTTTTGAAAAATTACTGAGTAATTGATTGATTGATTGATTGATTTTCCAATAAAACCGAAAAGGAATTTAATGGATTTGCTGTTATTTTAGTACAATCATGTACGTTAGAATTTGATTGATTGAATAATTTTTTTTTTTTGGTATTTATTTATTTCTTTATCATTCAAGAAAATTTAAAATTTTGTTTAATTTATGTCCCCTTTTACAATTTGGTGTAAATATTTTACAGATCAAAGATGAGGTCCAGAAAAACAAACTTGATTACACCAAATGTGTTGATAAAGTAAGAGTGGAACGTGCCAAATATGAAGATGCAAATGCAAAAGGTATTTTATTTTATAATTCATACAAAAACGATAATATTCTATATATGGTTCCCGGTTTATGAACTATAAAATTCATGTCAGAAAGGTAACCAGCTAGCTTACATAAGGTTGGTGGTTCTACTCAGGTTATTAAAGCTTGTGTCTAAAATAATGTGAGGGGACTCTGAGGTCTTCCTTCACAAATAAAGCGGAAAGTCACTTCTGTAATAATGTCTGGAGGGGCATCTTGACCTTTTCCTCTACAAGTAATAGCATATGACAATATAAACAAACCTTTAACATTTAAAAAAAAAATGTTTTGGTAATACTTCCGTCTGTAAAAGTTTAATTTTCTCCAATTGACTTGGTTGCCTGTTGGTGTAAAATTTCCTTGTTTTAATTGGTTGTAATTTAAGATTTTAAGTAGAAGTTTTGCGAAAGTTGAAGTGATTTGTTGGTCATTTAATTAAATTCCTTCATTCTTCAAAAAAAACAACAACTACTTTATGCAAAGTTTGAGTGTCAGTGGTTTTGTAAACCTTGGGGTCACAGGACTTGTGACCTGGGTTGATGTGAAATTTTTCTGTAATTATTGAGTCAAATAGTTAATTGTTTTTTCACATCTGATACAGATATCATGCTGGATTAGTAGTCATGTCACTTGCTGAGAAATTTGTAGTTACTGGTTTGTTATCCAGGAAAGCCGGTTAGGTTGACCTATCACCTAGAGATGACCAAAACTGTGTCAGAATCATCCTAAAAACCAAACAGACCAACTGTACACATTTGCAAATTAGTGCTAAATTTGGTCTGTTGCTTTGATAGTTTTTTGAAATTTGCTCCATTTAATCCAGCAATAAGTACTGAAGAATTTATACACCCTTAGCTAAACTTAGTGTTCTTTAGTGCTGATGTCAAGCCACTAGTCAGTAGATTAAGCCACATATCCATATAGACTATCTCTGTAAATAAGATCTTTCTTTTGACATACTTTGATTTCACCTTGACCTTAAAATGCTAAAATGTTATTGTGACCTTGATCTTTTGAGGTCAAATTTACAAAATTCCTATTTGAGGAGTACAGTGTTTGTATGAACAACAGTAATATGAATAATCTTGTTTCTTTTTGTTATCAATGCTGATTTTTGCTGTGAAATCTGTATACATTTTTTGTACATGTTTATTGTAAATTGTTGTAAGTATTTGTTGATCTTATTTGAAATCTGTATACATGTTTAAAGTAAATTGATGTAAATAATTTATTTATCTACATGTAAGTGACAAGTACTTTGTTCAATGAAATATACATGTACAGTGATGAAAAGCAATATAATATAAAGTAATGGAAACATTTAAGGGACTACCACTTGACCTATGTGTCATTGAGGACATTATTTATTCTATAATCATTTACATTTTTTGAAGCGAGATATAAATGATCACTATTAAATACATTATTGTCACCTTAGTGCAGTAATGGGTTAACTTCTTATATAATTTGATATGAGTTAAACCATTACAGCACTACAGTGGTGATATACATAATATTGATCATTTGTATTTCACTTCAAAAATGTATATAATTATAGAATAATATGACAATATGTTTGTTATTTATATATGATAAAATATATATGATATTTAAAATACAGTGTATGTTCAGTCATAAAATACACTGATAGCTGGGGAATGTAGGCAATTTAATGGCCACAATTGTTTGATATTCGATATAAACTTGATAGTATAGATTTTATAGGCTGTCTGATATTATATTTGTAAAAGTGCATTTAGGTAGATATCAAAAAAACACTTCATTTGATCTAGGGTTCGAAAATAGAATATGAACATGGTTTTGTCATATAAACTTCAATATTGATTATAATTTTATTTTTTTATTTTTTTTCAAGATTGTTTTTAAAATCTATGTATGTAATACTGTATGCTTGTAACATTGATTCTTATACTTTGTTTTATTCACACATTACCTATCGTTAGTGTGTCTTTTCGTTTTAGAACAATTCTTTTACTTTGTATCAGTCCCACATCACAGAATGATAATGTGTCTTTTAAAAAACAAACAAACAAACAAAAAACAAATAAACAAACAAAAAACAAACAAACAAAATGCTGCTAACAGTTTGAAGATTTAAAGACATTTATGTTTTATTTATAGGTTTCATTTTTTTTTTTTTTTTTTTGGAAAGTCCGCATACTCATCTGGAAGGCAGTTAAAAAAAGTAGAAAGCTAAAAAAAGGTTGCTTACACGTTATTTTCCTCTTCCCAAATTAATTGATATTTAATGTACTTCCTGATCTTAGAGGACACTTTGTCATTACAATAATATAAAAAACAGTACGCTATTCCGTACTATGACCTCGTCATGTTTATAATAAACAGTTAGTTGCTGTTAAGTGCTTAGTGATGAGCAATTACTAATGTCGTTAGATCTGTTATAGGCAAGATAAGTAGATCTTGGAAGGTGAACAATGCATGGTTACATCCTTTGATCACGATTTTTTGTAACGATTTAATAAAAAAAAAAAATTAAAATTTTTTAAGTGTCATCATGACAATCAATGTTACTAACTTTTACTTTTTTTAGACATACTTAAGTGAACAATTACGTTAAGTCGTAACATGCTTGAACCGAAAGTATAAATCATTTGCAACCAGTATAGACCAATCTGACCCAACCAACAATCTTGAAATTCATTATAACTGATAAGTAGGTATGGGAAGGTGAACAATGCAAACTTCAAGTCGTTTTCTGAAATGTTTTATAAAAAACAGAATGTGATAATAATGTTATTTGCCACCAGTTAGACAATTAACTGAATTATCATATTGAAATTTATTATGATTGATTGTTCTATGTCTGCAGATGATGTGACCATAACATTTTTTCAATTATTGTACATATAGAACTAAATGTATAGTTTAAGATTTAATGGTACATTAAAAACGAAGGATTTAAAAAAATGATCAAACAAAATTCAAGTGTTAAGAAACAGACCATAATTTTGATACTTATCTCAAAACTAGGTCAAACAAATAAAACTAGGCATACAAATAAAACTAGGCAATACAAATAAAACTAGGCCATACAAATTATGTAATTCCAACTTACAGGTGTTAAGAAAATTTGTATTCTATCTTGTTCCCTGCGGTCTGGAGACCACAGGGTATTGGTACGCGTTTAACTTTTGAGGCATGGAGGAGCACGTGACCTGTTTTCGGTACATGGAGGAGCATGTGATCTGTAAACCGTACATGATTGGTTAATTGACCTTTTCGAAACCCTAGCTAAATACCGTTTGCCAGTACGTTACGGATTTACCTGTAAACACTTTCAATATGATCTACATAAATAACCGAGGTATATCGAGTGAAAAAATGCGAGTTGCTTCCCTTACCTTCGAGTAAAATCGATATCGCTTATGCTAAAACAATACTAAATAAGCTGTTTTTAAACCGCTAGTTTGTTGTGATTAAATGTCCGATTTTGAAATGTATTACACCAATAGAAAACTTTGGATCTTAGCTTCGTCACTGTATATAATTCAACACATCTTTGGACTTCAAAGTATTTTAATTATTTGTTAAACCTCCCATATGTCAGACCATTTTACATACGATTTATACAGTGAGATACGCAATCCGTTATCTTTACTCGAAATTCTACTGATATGAATAGCCAGTCGTCTGCTAGTTCTGAAAGTGTTTATCGGTGTTTATTTCTAATTTTCTATAATTATTTTACCGTTAAAGTTGGAAAAAACTTGAATGATATGTTTGAAAATTATCAATGTTTCTTTAATATCTATCTCAAACTTTACAAACAATAAATTGTTTATACTGAAAATCTACAAAATTAAGATATTCGTAGTGGCATCAGCCATAATAAATAGAGATATTTTCTGCATAAACTTGTGTGTTTACTTTATTTATTTTTTGTTCGGAATTATTCATAAAATGAAGGTGTATTTTTAAAATCATTTTCTTAAAAAGAAATAATTGTTTTATGCTCGACCTTCTCCGGTCTTCAATGGTCACCAGTTTCCAAAGACCTTCTTCCATAGTGATCGTTTATTCAACTTTACCCCTGATAAAAACGTTTATTTATTCCACCCCCCCCCCCCTCCCAAATAATGTTGAAAATAGTTAAAAGAAATATCTTTATATATATCATTAAAATGTTCACCGCAGGAAACCATTTTACTTGTATAATTATTGTTATTCTTCTTTTTCTTTGTTACTGTAAAATCGGAAGGCCGTACCGAAAGTAAGTACACATGTTGTATTTTTAGCTCACCAGAGCACAAAGTGCTGAAGGTGAGCTATTGTGATACACCTGTGTCCGGCATTCAGCACTTTTACTTTAACAACAGCTCCTTCAAAATGATGAAACTATGCAGGAATGACCCTTGGGTTGTTTTGTATAAAAATTGTTTAAACGGTTCTGGTCTGCTGAACAAGATGGCTGCCAGATCCAGGCTTTCAAGCGGGCCCTACTTTTCCTATTTTTCCTACTTTTCCCTACTTTTTTTGTTTGACCCCTACTTTTCCCTACTTTTTTTTTAAATGCCCTACTATCCCTACTTTTTAAAGAAAAAAGCTTGAGGATAATTGATTAAAAAACCAGTATAAGTAGTAGATTGATTTTGATATAATCTTTATCTTAAATTAAATAAGAATCCGATGCTAGTTTAATTGTAGGAAAAAGTTGATGGAAGTAGGTCATCAGTGGTGCAAGAGGGGTTCCATGATGAGGATGGTTTTAGCTTACATGGCAGAATCAGCGACTTTAGGTGAGTTTGCTTATAAAGAAATATTACTTAGTGTTCAATTATTTTTTATGTTTTTGTACACAGACTAGCTTCTCAATTGTTTCATTTCAAAATTATATTATGTTTTTGTACACAGACTAGCTTCTCAATTGTTTCATTTCAAAATTATGATATGTTTTTTGTACACAGACTAGCTTCTCAATTGTTTCATTTCAAAATTATAATATGTTTTTGTACACAGACTAGCTTCTCAATTGTTTCATTTCAAAATTATAATATGTTTTTGTACACAGACTAGCTTCTCAATTGTTTCATTTCAAAATTATAATATGTTTTTGTACACAGACTAGCTTCTCAATTGTTTCATTTCAAAATTATAATATGTTTTTGTACACAGACTAGCTTCTCAATTGTTTCATTTCAAAATTATAATATGTTTTTGTACACAGACTAGCTTCTCAATTGTTTCATTTCAAAATTATAATATGTTTTTGTACACAGACTAGCTTCTCAATTGTTTCATTTCAAAATTATAATATGTTTTTGTACACAGACTAGCTTCTCAATTGTTTCATTTCAAAATTACAATATGTTTTTGTGCACAGACTAGCTCCTCAATTGTTTCATTTCAAAATTATAATATGTTTTTGTACACAGACTAGCTTCTCAATTGTTTCATTTCAAAATTATAATATGTTTTTGTACACAGACTAGCTTCTCAATTGTTTCCCAATGATACTTATGCTAAGGGACAATACAGACTAGCTTCTCTATTGTTTCATTTCAAAATTATGATATGTTTTTGTACACAGACTAGCTTCTCAATTGTTTCCCAATGATACTTATGCTAAGGGACAATACATGCCAACATCTTTGAGCATATATAGATTTTAGGCAATGTTTGGCATATTGGCAAGTATTGAAGTTGCTCACTGTGATCATTTTGTCTTGAATTTTCATTGAATGAAAGATACTGGAAAAATGTAGTGAGTGTTTCTGAAAAACATGTATGCTTTAATTAGATAGAATTTGATAGCTTTAATATGGTAGGGGATTAGGAATCTTTATCTTATAACAGATAATTTAAGAATAACTAACTGTGTGTTTAGGCTTTCAGTGTGCCAATTATTAGTAATAACCATTAAAGATGTGAGAGATTGTTGTTACATCCAAAGTTTTTGCTCTCTATCTTGAAATATATATATATATAATATGGCATAAATACTCATTTATCTGAGACCTACTTACATTTCTCGTAATTAAGTGTCATTAAGTTTTTTTTAAATTCCATTTTACTAACAATTTATTATTTCAGGTCCATTAATTTATAAAAATTAACTTCACAATGCCACATGGACAATGCATGTTAATGTATATGCTTTGCTCTGTAGTTGTGTGCATCTATTTATTTGGTAGCAGGCTTTACTATACTATTATCTATAGTTCTGCAATTAATACATTATGAAGCGTAAACTCTTGCTTTGATTTGTCAGTTTTGCATGTACTAACTTTGCATACTAACTGCTTGTGTATATATCTTAAAATTTACTTTTGGTTTTTACAAGTACATGTATCTATTTTGCATGCCCATGTAAACTCCATGCATATCTAGGATGCTAGTAAACCTTTGCCTTTTTTACATTTATTCCTTTTCCTTTTCTAGTGTGTTATAATGCTAGTTAAAAAATCATGTTTTAACACCTATCCTTGTTCTAGTCTGTGTTTCACATATTATGCTAGCCATGTTTTTGCAAATAACATTTTTCTTGCTTGTATTTTTTAACAACCATTCTATCTTAAATAAGGTTTTAACACATTTCCTGTTTCTAGTCTGTGTACAAAAAACATGCTAACTTAATGTTTAATGTCACTAATAGTCTGTATTCTGACATATTTATTGTTTGGAATTGGATCTAATACAAAAAATACCAATTCCAGGTTCATGTCCAGACACTGGTGACTGGTTTCCTAAATGAAGAAAATGTCATGGATATTAGCTGATAAGGGTCTGTATTTGCTTTTGCATCAACTTTGGAAAATAGGTGAGTAGAGAGTCCTTCTTTCCCTACTTTTGGGCTCTGAAAATCCTTACTTTTCCTTACTTTTTTAATTTCCTACTTTTATCCCTACTTTTTTGTTATTGGCCACTTGAAAGCCTGCAGATCTGAAAATAAAAAAAAACCTTTAAATGACATCTTCTCAAGCTATTTGGCAGATTTTGATGAAACTGTACAGCAATGATCATTAGGTAGTCCTTTACAAAAATTGCTTGTAATCAATCCTGTCTGATGAACAAGGAATATACTGGTAATTAAATCTTATCCATGTAAACCATGTCCTCTGGTGAGCGATTCAGAGCCATTGTGGCTCTCTTGTTTGTGTAATCTTTGTATGTTGTATGTAAACTTCTGCAAATAAATATCTACCATATATTGTTATCTTATATATTATGTTATAACAAATTGTATTATAACTATAGAAGAATAGATGATTTTAGATATGTTCTTATAAAGAAATAAAAGAAAGATTTAACAAGAGGTTTTTAGTTGAAAAAAAAATTAATCAAGATAGCTTTTTAATGCTTGAACCTGGACCTTTTGAGCTCCAGGTAAAACAGGGAACAAGTTGAAGTGTGCAAAACAGAACTATGTGTTTATCTGTCTGTTTCTAGGTATAAATGCCCAGAACAAGTCAATGGGAACCAGAGCTTTTTATATGTTTTTTATGTGTGCAAGTAAAGCCTGGAACAAGTATGAATGTGCCAAAATAGAAATATTTGTATGCTTTATGTAAATTATGTTTGTAGGAAAAGCTGGGAATAAATTTCAGAACTGTAAAATTATGAAAATTTGTGTTCATCCTGTTAGTAACAGTGAAATAAAAATATTCATAATACTCTTTCCATTTGTAGGTAGAGCTGGTAACATGTTTAGAAAAAAATTTGAATGATTTAGAAAGTGCAAAATAGAACTAGGTGTAATGTTTTTGTTTGTAGGTAAAACTTGGGGGGAAAAAAGAAGAAAAAAAGATAAAAAATTTAATGTTTGAGGGGTAAAAGCCAGAACAAGTAAAAAGGTGTAAATTATGACAATTTGTTTGCTTTCTACTTGAAGGTTAAAAATGTGGAAAATGTGAATGATTTAGAAAGCACAAAACAGAACTAGGACTAGGTGTATTCTTTAAAATTGGGAAACAATTTTTAAAAAAAAATGTAAATGAACTTTATATGCTTTCTACTTGAAGGTAAAGCTGGGAACAAGTTGGAAAGTGCAGAACAGAACTATATGTATTGTTTCTCTCTGTAGGTAGAGCTGGGAACAAATTAAAAAATTGTGAATGACTTAAAAAAGAAAAAAATGAACTGTTTTTGATAGGTAGATAAGTTATTGATGTATACATTTTAAGACATTTACATGTTTGAAGGTAAAGCCGGGAACAAGCTAGAAAGTGCCAAACAGAGCTATGTACAGGCTAGTGTGAAGTTACACAAACTACATAACAAATACATTCTCTCGCTATGTGAACTAAAGAGCCATCAAGAACATTATAGCAACAAAACTTTACCATATTTCCTGGACCATCACCAGGCCAACCAAGAGATACTTGTTCAACAATGGTAACACACATTTTTTTAACATGTTTAATTATTAGGAAAATATATAATGTCACTTTAGTGCAGTAATAAACTTACTCCGGAATTAAGAATATTTTGGGTTTTTGCTCTCAAATCCGAGGGTACAAACAAAGTTTACTTGGAAGATATATTGCCACCTTAACCAGGGCCAGCAAAATCTGATTTTGACTTACTAGTCCATTTTTCTCTGAAGCATTTCTTAACTTGACCGTATAACAGCTATACAGTAAATTCTTGAAAATTTCCACTTGTCCATACAAGCTCTGGGATAACCTTGGCAATATGGACAATTGATTTTGCTGCCCCTGCTTTAAGGCAGTATTAGACTTACTCTGGAATTAAGAATAGTTTGGTTTTTACCCAGCTTATCCGGAGGAACAAACAAACTTTTACAATTACAGCTTTGAAGATGAGGGCAACAGGTTGGAAAAATTATATTGTGACAGATAGTCTACTGTGAAACAGTAAAAGTATTAAAAAGTCTACTGTGAAACAGTAAAAGTTTGTTTGTGTTTAACATGTTAAACATTTTAAAAATGAAAACATTAATTTTGTATTTTGATTGATGTATTTTGTTGAAATTTGGGCATGAGGCCTGTGTTACACAAATAATTAAACTATCTAAAATATAACTTTAATTATTTCAGCAAAGATTTTCTAGAAGAGTTCCAGAGTTTGACAACATTCTCTACAAAAGATCATATCGCTGCCTACCAGTCTATAGAAAATGCCGTACAAGACATCGTACCTGAGAAAGAATATACAGAGGATTTTGCCGTTAAATACAAGTATGATTAGTTTTCCCATAATGCCAAGCCAAAAAAAAATTGTTCCATTTCGGGTCTCCCTAAAGTCCCTTAATTTTAGCTCGACTATTCAAAGAGTAAGAGCCGTTTTTATGCTCACCCAGACATTGGCATTTGTGCCGCCGGCATACTTTGGTTAGATTTTTCGTGTAAGTTAGTATCTCCAAAACTACTAAAGGAAATTGGTGGAAACTTCACACTTTTGTTCCCTATGATTATCTAACATAATTAGTATAGGCCCCATAATTGAGTTACCTTTATTACAGAGTGATGCCTCTTTTCTTACTTTCAAGTTCTTAGAATAGTCTAGCATGCTGTTCTACTAGCAGCTTTTGTTACATTCCAACTCAAGAGATTTATTTTTGCCTCTCCGACTTTTCAAAAAAAAAAATCTGTACAATATATATGTAAGATTTTGAACTTTTGCAATGTTACTTAATTTTAGGATAATTCTTACTATCAAAAACTCATGACTGAGGCAATTTATAAGACATTTTTTACAAAATCCAAAATAAGTGGTGGTATTTACAAAAATGATAAGAATAAAAAAGAATACACCTTAATATATAATTTATATAGGTAAAATAATTATGCTATATCGAAGGCTTTGTGCAATATGGCTGTATCTCATATGACATATAAAAAGGAGTTACATCATTTTTGAACCAAGCAGAAGCTGGTGATATGTCTTTAAGATTTGTTTGTTATATTTCTATTATACAAACAGAGTCTTCAAGGTTTACATGTTCCTATTTTGGTAATTTAAGCCTCTAATTTTATAGAAAAACTAGGAAGTTGTAAATATTCTGAAGCTATGTTAGGAAGTCATGCTGATTAGGGGTATATCTGATTTCATATTAATACAGTTATATATAAAACTGTGTTATTTATAGTGGTAGATAATTGTAGATGTAATTTTAATATGCTTATTTACTTCCTGAATGAAACATGAAACTTTTATATAACAAAGATGTTACCACATGATAGAAATAGATTATAAATAGTGATAAAATATGTCAAAATCAGGGACACTGGTGCTAAAAATAGATTGTTACATAACTATTTCTATATACATAAAGTAAAAAAAAAAAAAAAAAAATACATGGAGTATGCATACTAAATTGTTTACATTTTGCTATCTTTTCAATATGTTACTGCAAAATCAATGCTACTTTCCTCAGCTGTTAAATATATTACGTGCTCTAAAATCCATTATTAAAACATTACTACACCCATGTTTGACATTTGTAAAGTATTTAACAAATATGGATTTCTGAGGCATAATGTCCCTTTAATTTAAACCTTACGTATGTGAAGTTTGGGGATGTGAAATTTAAGAATCCCAGTAGGAAAAAAAGAATTCCCAAATTAGTTGATACTTGTACCCTTTTGTAAATGAAAGGGAAAATGATGCCTGTCTTGATATAGATATTTTTACTAACTCTAATTATCTCATCGGTACGTTACAGATCGGACCCATTTACACCAGTGACAATAGACTTTGATGGTAAAATACTAGACGATTATCAGGGAACATTAGTACCGAACCGTCTCGCTGTTGACGATTTTACACAAGAATCACTGGAATCACAGTATGTATTTTTCTGTAATGTTTACATGTGTATATATATATAGACAATATTGCATTTACTGAATTTATTGAACAAGCTGAATAAAGAGATACACGAGCCTCTAGGGAGCGTAATATTATTTTATTAATCAAATTTAATAAATTCAGTATTGAACATATTCAAATATAATATTCTTTTTCTTTTCATACACAAAATAAAGACTGTTTAAATTGAAAAAGAAGCTTAAAGTAGATTATAGTTTGTACATTTTGAAAAATCTGTTGACACAATTGCCGTACACCAAGTTGTTAATATCATCCTTGTGACATATGCATTTGACTGTCCTGTATGTTTTATAGGGTATTAGTATGAAGCATGTTTTAATTATGATTTGAGCCGTGTCATGACAAAACCAACATAATGGGTTTGCGATCAGCATGGATCCAGACTTGCCTGCGCGTTTGTGCAGTCTGATCAGGATCCATGCTGTTCGCTATCAGTTTCTCTACTTGTAATAGGGATTGTAAGCGAACAGCATGGATCCTGATCAGACTGCGCAAATACGCAGGCTGGTCTGGATCCATGCTGGTCGCAAACGCATTATGTTGGTTTTGTTGTGACGCGGCTCATTTGTGTTTTATTGAAAATTATTGCAGAAAACAAACACTGTCCGAAGAAATAGATAGTATAAAGAAACAGCTACAAGATTTAGAATCGGAAAAAAAAACGTCGGCAGACAGAGTAAGGGATCTACGTAAGGACATGTCAAAGTTGTCTCATGAAGAAATGTCTGAGTAAGTGTAGTATTTGTGTGGAGCAGAGATAATATTTTCGGGGTGCCAAGTACAGCATTTTTTTTATTGGATAGGGAAGGAATTTTGCGGGGGATGGGGGGTTGCACGGACAGTATTTTTGTATGGGATAGGAAAGGAATTTTTGTGGTGGGTCAAGGACAATATTTTTGTATGGGATAGGGGAGGAATTTTTGTTGGGGGTAGGGGGGGGGTGCAAGGACAGTATTTTTGTATGGGATAGGGAACAAATTTGTGTTTGGGGTGGGGGTGCAAGGACAGTATTTTTGTTTGGGATTGGAACAGTATTTTTGTGTGGGGGCGGGAATGGGGAGTAGGATAAAATTTTGGCAACATTCCCCTTCCTCAATGTTTGTTTTTTTCTCTTCACCTCTGGCATAATTTCTTGAAAGTAAACAAAAAATATAAGTTAAAGGAGGGCACCAATCCCCTGTTTACAATATATACATTCTTGCCTACTGATCCAAAATAGGGAGTATAGAAGGTTTTGAAAAAATAAAAAGAGTAGTCCAAAGTAATGCTGGTCTTTTGCTGTTGTGAAGTAAATTTTAAAACAAAATGCCTTGTTTTGAGGTAACATTAAGAACAATTTTTATCAGATAAACTCAGGGAAAATTAAAAACAAACAATTAATCTTTTTTTTGGATCAATGTCAAAACTTGGATCAATTGCTTTATTTTTGTTTTATTATCTGCCTACGAATGATCACAAGGAAAATTAAAAATAGACCATAAACATATTTTTAGATCAAGATCAAAACATGGATCAATTGCTAAATTTTAGAAAACAATTATTGTGTAATTTATCGAACTTTTCATGTTTATTTCATTTTACTTCCTGTTTTAAAGTTTCACTATGTTGTATACTATGGCTGTTACATGTAGGAAGAAAAGGTTAATAAACTGATTTGCTACCCCAAGATATATAAAAATATCAACAGGCACATGGGTACAAGTTTTCAGAATTTGCCTGAAGATCAGGCTTTTTATACTTCTGGAAACACTCTTTAACTATATAAATCTAATTAAAATACATGTAATGCTTATTTCAGGGTTTTCAGGTTTTCAGAAATTTTGAACTTTCACCCATGTGTACAAAAGTATTTATTCAGTCCATATTTTTAGATTTTACCTAAGTTTGATGAATGATTTTGTCAAGGTTGAAAAAAAGGACATGTCAATTTAAGATAATTAGCATAGTTAGGCTTAAAGTGGCATGTCTGTTTTTATTTAAAAAATTGAAAATGAACTCAAAAGTAAAATGTTGTGAAGTGAACAAAGAAATTAGTTTCCGTATTGCAATCAGCACTTACAATATATGTAAATCATCTAAAAGAGGTCAAAATTAGCAAGCAATATGCCTTATTGCTTTAGTAACGTAGTAGATATATTGTGATAAATACTGCAAAAAGGATCATTAATTGTACATAATATGTTAATTATTATATAACTAATTACTTTTATAAAATCATCGTACATCTTTCTCAAGTTTAATCGTCTTGAAATATTTTTGGCTCATTTGGAGGCATGTAACTTCAAGTTCTTTTTTAAAAAAATTTTTTTAACATTTTAATTTTTGTATCGCAGGTACCTTGAGAAGCGTAAACAGTTTGAGGAGCTGAAGAAAAAGATAGCCGAGCTGGAAAGTAACATGGCAACGAAAGCTGATCTTATCAAGATAATCGAAGAACCGCTAAATAAATTAGGTGATGGCACGCCTCCGGCAGCTCTCGATATACCAGATATTTCCCTAGACAATGTGGTATGTTTTACTGTTGTCATGACATTTTTGTACGAATTACGGCCTCCGTAGTTGAGGCATTAGAGTCGATGTTTTCTTATCCAGTTACCTCTCTGGCGTTGGTTCGATCCCCAGGCCCCGTGTTCACTAACAAAAGATCAGGCCCGGCTTTCACTAACATTCTCAAAGTAAAAATCTCAGCTCAAATCTGAGATTTTTCTCAAATCAGAAATTGAGATTGAGATTTTTCTCAGTTTGGCTTTCACTAAAAAATATTGAGAAAAATCTCAACTTAAGATTTGAGATTTTTCTCAGATATATTGAGACAAGGTTTGGCTGTCTCAGATTATGTCTCAGTGAAGCTAAATTATTATTTTTAGGGGTATTTTTACTTTTTGCATGGTTATTTTGATAAATAAACATAATTTGACCTTTTTGGCAATTAAATTCCTATGATTTTCATATATTTAGTAATATATTGACTGATTATTGTGGGTGACATCATGCGCTCTAATTCATGACGTCATGAAATTATGACGTCACAATAATCATACTAAAAATGATGTTGTTTTCTTTTGATGTACATTCATTCTTGATAACTCATTTTCATACATGTAAGCATTCAAATATTCACACATTTGCAATTGCTTTTTGTTTTTTTTTGTCATTGTTTCTTGTTGTTGTTCTTTTTAAATAAAACAAAAAAATATAGATCTTCTTAATGTAATAAATATACAAAACATTTCCCTGTTGCGTCATCTTACATCAAAACAGCAACTATATTAATATATACATGATATACTACGTAACAAAAAGGAACACTCTATGTTTTAGTCATAGAAGCCCATCAACAATGTACATTAAGATAGCGCTTATGTCTTGAGAAAAAAAAACAACAGTCTCAGTTGAGAAAAATCTCAACTGTTGAGAAAAAGTTTAGTGAAAGCCAACTTGAGAGTTTTCTCAAGTGAGATAAAATCTCAGTCAATATTGAGACAATCTCAAGTTGAGATTTATCTCAGTTTGAGAACGTTAGTGAAAGCCGGGCCAGGATCAGCATCTCCCCTTCTAATCCAGTTACCTCTCTGGCGTGGGTTCGATCCCCGAGAGATGCTCTGGTAGTTTAGCATGGAGGAAGGTAGTCTAGTACTGGTTTAACTCACCAGGAACGATGGTTAGGAAACTACCCGCCTATATGACTGAAATACTGTTGGGAAAAGGCGTAAAATGAAACAAACAAACAAATTACTGCACAATTACTTTTAGCTCAACTTCTCATAAAATAGGAAGAGCAATTGTACTCACGTTGGCGTCGTTATCATCATCGGCATGGCCATCACACTTTGGTTAAACTTTTGCCTGCAAAATTGGTATCTCCAAATCGAAAGAAGGGGATGGGTTGAATTTTTTTTACATTCTTATTTGAAATCACAGGTAGTCACTGTGCAAGGCCCATAACTCTAACATGGATTTTGGATAATGACCCTTGTTGAACTTGGACAAATCTACATTATCCAGGCTCTTGTTTCTCTATCAAGCACTGAGAATAGTCGAGCACGCTGTCTTACTGACAGCTCTTGTTTAAAGTAACATTTGTTATAGCAAGAATCTGGAACAGTTTATTTGTAGTTTAACGAATTTCAGTATCAAAAAGCAAATAGTGAGCTACAAATAGCAAAGGGTCTGGTTAGACTGTCCCTTCTGTTTCCTGCAGGTTAAAGGAACACCAAAGGCCTAAAAATATAAAATTTGAAAATCTTACAAATATCAAGTAAATCTCTTAAAGCAAAGGATAACAAGGAAATATTCTTAAACCTAAATTGAAAATTGATTTTTGTGCAATTCTTTGCCGGAAAATGCATGAAAAACCGGTCATTTTGCATAATTAACTAATTATTCTTAAAAAATGGGGCAATGGAATGACTTGAAAATTTTCACACAAGTTAATTGGTCCAGACAGTCGTCAATTGGTTTAACAAATCTTGAAAAAAAAATATTCCAAGTGAGGTCAAGTCATCAGTCCTATGTGGATTTTTAACCAGGTTTTCAGAAGGAATAAAACTGGTTATGAGATTGAGGTATGTCGCTGGGCGGACAGGAGGGCGGGCGTAAACAATTTATTCTGTGCGCAACTCCTCCTACATTTCTCAAGGGATTTTGAGGAAACTTTCACAGAAGCTTTGTCATCAAGTGCCCTTGCGCATGTAGTCGGGGTTTTGTGATTTGATAATTATTGACCTTTTTATGGCCCTTTGTTGTGTTTTTCTTATACCGGTATGGAATATATAGTGAACATTTGACCTTATTAAGGCCCTTTGCTTTTTTTGTTTTATGGAATAAATAGTGAACAATGTTTTCTAAGCAAAAACCTTCAGTGAAATGTTTTTGCTGAAAACCTGGTTTCAACACATTGCGATGTTTTTTGTCTTTAAATGTTTAAACTTTTTAACATTTTTTTTCAGTCCACTCACAGTGGCGGTGACGAGAAGAATAGTAAATTGAAAATGTTTAAAAATCTCAAGAAGATGAACCCTTTAAGATTGATGCGGGAAAAAAGCCAGATAGAGAACGGACAGAAAGAAGACGGTCCACAAAATTACGAACAACAAGAAACACACCCTTCTTCCAGTGTGGATTCCGGTTTTGCGGTACGTTCATGACATTCCTTGTATACACTCATATTATGTTTGTCTCAGTTGGGTTTGAATCCCGTTTGAAAAACACTTCAGGTTCCTTCATAGGAAATAGCTATCCAGCTAGTTTACAGAATGTTGGTGGTTCGATTCTATTCATTTGCTAGTTTTGTGCCTGAAATTATGCACACAATGGGGCACCTAAGATCTGGTTTAAACTAGTATAGCTAAAAAGTTTCAATATGACCTATAGAGTGGTTTTAATTATACTGTGTATATTTATTATATTTTCATTGCCATAACTTCTACAAAGATGCATGTAAATTATAATAAATGAGTACTGTGTTAATATGTTGTAGACATTTATTTCCAGTGCTGGGTAAAATGAATTGATTATCATAGTGCTTTGTTAGGTTATGCATACATTTACTCATTTCTATGTATACATAATGCATAGTTTAGTGCTGTGTGATAGAATTGCATATTTCGATGCTGTGTAAGTAAAGATTATGTAATTTTGTTGCTGTGTATTTTGCTTAATGCAAATTTTAATACTGTGTGATGCATATTTTGGTTAAAGTCGAAAATAATGCTGTGTAAATAAATATATCAATAATGTGTGAATGAATGAATGAATGAATGACGAAAGTAAGGAAGGAAGGAATGAAGGAAGAAAGAAAGGAAAGAAGGAAGGAATGAATGTATTTATACTTCAGTACTGTGTAGATGAATATTTCAGTGCTGTGTTAATTGAAATACTTGTATTTTAGTGCTGTGTTATTTGAAATACTTGTATTTTAGTGCTGTGTTAATTGAAATACTTCTATTTTAGTGCTGTGTATAAGTTAAGTATATATATTACAGTCTTGTTCAGCATCACCTGCTAAAAAGTTAGAAGATGAAGAATGGTTCCACGGAGTTTTACCGCGAGAGGAAGTTCAGCGTCTGCTGTCAGACGACGGCGATTTCCTGGTGCGAGAGAGCAAGAATAAACGTACCAATGAAACGCAATATGTACTGTCGGCCTACTGGCAGGGATACCGTCATTTCATCATACAGTTTCAGGAGGTATATTGCTTTAATCCTGTTTGCCTTATATTTTAACCTTTAAAGGGACTTGACCAGGGTTTTTTTATGCCCCCGCCCGCTATATAATGGCTGGGGGATAACGTTTTACCCTGTTCCGTCATTCTGTCAATCTGTCCTTCCGTCATCCCGTCATCATCAATTTTCGTTCATTATCTTAGTAACCGTTGCACACATTCAACTCAAATTTGACATATGGATATATCATAAGAAAATTCAGGTCAAGTTACAATTTGGTCATGGTCCGATGATTTTTGGCAGAGTTATGCCCCTTTCACTTTGAAAATATGAAATTTTCAGTTTCGGTTTATTATCTCCCCAAAGGTATTACACATTCAACTCGCTAATGTAAACAAACAAAAAATGAATTTTCCTGTAGCTGCGCCTCCAAGACACACTTACTGAAAAACGGGAATAACATTGACGTCGATAAATCATTTCAATTTGATATAACCTGGATAGTAGCACTGGTTGATTAAAGCTGATTTACTAAAATAAGTTCTTTCAAAATTTGAAAAAAGCTACGATTTCAATGGAAAAAAACTTATAGGCTATATTAGTTAATTATTCAAGGCTAATCTCTCAGTCAACATACATATTATTTTTATAAATAATTTTGTCAGCCTTGATAATGATAATGATTATGATTCATTTTTTATAAAAACAATTATTCTGTTGTTTTTCTTTTTGAAAAATGTACATTTCACCTAACTTGTAATTGTTTACACCTTTTCTAATTATTTTTCATAAAATGAATTTGTTTATTAATAAATTTGTTTTTATTTTCTTTTAAAAATAAAGGGAGGTAATAGGAAGAAGTACATATGTTAATTTCTTGATATTCTAAGATTTAAAAAAAAATCTGGCTGTATTTTTTGAATATCAGTATTAAAGAGAACAATAATTGAAACATATTTTAGATATTTTGCTTACATTAAAACTTTATTTTTTTTATTATATTTACAAATATATATATTTCAAGTTGTCAGATGATCAGGGACCCATCATATGAGACCTCATTGATTGAGGTATTTTTGGCTGCCTGTATGATAGGGCATACTTAGAAGCTTCTGTGTGTGGTTATTATACCCCCACAAACGAAGGTTAGGGGGTGTATATAGGAGTCAGCTCAGTCCGTCAGGGGGGTATATAGGAGTCATCTCAGTCCGGGGGGGTATATAGGAGTCATCTCAGTCCGTTGGTCGGTCCACATCATGGTTTCCGGACGGTCGGTCCACATCATGGTTTCCGGACGATAACTAGAGTTTGGAATGAGGTATTGTAATCAAACTTGGTATATAGCAACCTTATGTGGAAACTCTGATTAGTATTGCATTTGGACCCCCTGGGGTCAAGGTCAAGGTCACTGTTACTAAAAATAGAAAAATGGTTTCCGTACAATAACTAGAGTTAGGAATGAGATATTGTTATCAAACTTGGCGTATAGCAAGCTTATATGAAGAAACTCTGGTTGGTATTGCATTTGGACCCCATGGGGTCAAGGTCACTGTTACTAAAAATAGAAAAATGGTTTCCAGACAATAACTTGACTTAGGAATGAGATACTGTAATCAAACTTGGTGTATAGCAAGCTAATATGAAGACCTGGGTTGATATTGTATTTGGAGCCCCTGGGGTCAAGGTCAAGGTCACCGCTAAGAAAAATAGAAAAATGGTTTCTGGACAATAACTAGAGTTAGGAATGAGATATTGTTATCAAACTTGGTGTATAGCAAGCTTATATGAAGACCTTGGTAGGTATTGCATTTGGGCCCCCTTGGGTCAAGATCACCGTTAAGAAAAATAGAAAAATGGTTTCCAGACAATAACTAGAGTTTGGAATGAGATATTGTAATCTAATTTGGTGTATAGGAAGCTTATATGAAGACCTGGGTTGGTATTGCATTTGGGACCCCCTAGGGTCAAGGTCACCGTTACAGTGTTACTAAAAATAGAAAAATGGTTTCCGGACAATAACTAGAGTTAGGAATGAGATATTGTAATCAAACTTGGTGTATAGCAAGCTTGATTCGAGACCCCAGTTGGGATTACAATTAATTGAAATATTTCTTTGTACACAGTTGATAGTTTGTGTTCAAATTTTTCTTCAGACTACTTTTTTTTCAAAAAGTTCAAGTTGCTGGTGGGGGTATTAATCACCTTCAGTGATAGGTCTAGTTAAGGTTGCTACCATATTTTTCATATGTTTATACCATTATGCTTCAAACATTGAAGAATGTGTAAAATTCATACTGCAAATATTTGATCACATTATGATTATTTAATCATTAAAATATATGCATTCATTTCTTATTGAAAAATTTGACTTAGACTTTATAGAAAATAAATTTTTAATTACCTCCCTTTATTTACTTGAACATGTAAATTTGGTAATATTTTCACAAATAATGCTTTTTAGCTCACCTAAGCTTGCTCAGGGTGAGCTTTTAGGATTGTTGAATGTCCGTTGTCTGTCATCGTCCACATTTGTTAGTTAACACTCTAGCGGTCACATTTTTGCCTCAATCATCATCAAACTTTGTCAGGATGCTTATGTAGATAATTGCTCGGATGAGTTCGAACATGGGTCATCTCCGATGAAAAACTATGTCACAGAAGCTAAAAATAGAAAATTCTTGTTAAAACTAAAGTGGTTACTGTTTTGATCCAAATATCCTTGCAATGGATCTGAAAGTTTTGTTTTGATGATTTCTATGTCAAGTTTGAATATGGGTCACCTAGGGTCAAAAACTAGGTCACACCGCCCAAATATGGAAAAACCTTGTTAACACTCTAGTGGTCACATTTTTGACTTAATTGTCAGCAGACTTAGTCAGGATGCTTGTCTAGATAATTGCTCGGATGAGTTTGAACATGGGTTGGAAAATTTCATGCCAAGACTTTGAAAAAATCAATATTTCCCTTAGTCATTGGGTATGTATTTTTTTCAGAGTTCAAAACATTGCTAGACTTTCGGACTACTCTCCCTACATTTTATGCTTGCCCAAATAGAATTTTACTAGACTGGGGTTCAGGCTTACGCAAATGATAAATATCATGACTACAAGGTTAAATTAAATTTGCAAGGTCAAGGTCACTAGAGATGATGAAATATCCAGGTATATATTTGCATGGTCAAGGTCACTAGAGATGATAAAATATCCAGATATATATTTGCATGGTCAAGGTCACTAGAGATGATAAAATATCCAGATATATATTTGCAAGGTCAAGGTCACTAGAGATGATAAAATATCCAGATATATATTTGCAAGGTCAAGGTCACTAGAGATGATAAAATATCTAGATATATATTTGCAAGGTCAAGGTCACTAGAGATGATAAAATATCCAGATATATATTTGCAAGGTCAAGGTCACTAGAGATGATAAAATATCCAGATATATATTTGCAAGGTCAAGGTCACTAGAGATGATAAAATATCCAGATATATGTTTGCAAGTTCAAGGTCACTAGAGATGATACAATATCTAGATATATATTTGCAAGGTCAAGGTCACTAGAGATGATAAAATATCCAGGTATTGTCCGGATATTGCTCATGACATATCTCCTATATGCATATCTATAAATGTCCACATCTCTGTCAAAAGCTTTTCTGAGGGGCCATATTTCTATACAGAGGGGTTACAAATGACCCCTAAAAAATTACTGTCATTCTGTCATTTTTCATGTAAAAATGTATATTTCATCCAATTTGGTAATTATTTACACCTTTCCTAACAATTTTTCATAAATTCAATTTGTTTAAAGTCTTAAGTTTATGATATCTTACTGTTAAAAGCATAAAATGTTGTTTAATTTAAGTTATTGCAAAAATAGTTATTGCAAAACTAGTGTAAGTAAAAATAAAGGGAGGTAATAGGAAAATGTACTTATGTTAATTTCTTTACATTCTTACATTGGGAAAAAAAATCTGGCTGCATTATTTGAATATCAGTATTCAACAGAACAATAATTGTAACATTTTTTAAAGACTTCACTTACAGTAAAACTTAATTTTTATGCCCCCACAATGTGGGAGCATATAGCGTTGCACTTGTCCGTCAGTCCGTCCGTCAGTCCGTCCGTCAGTCAGTCCGTCCGTCCGTACGTCCCGAAATCTTGTGAACGCAACTCCTCTTAAACCGGATGGCAGATTTTGCTTAAACTTACAGGGATGAACAACCTTAATGTGTAGATGGTAGTAAAGGAAGGAATTTTCCCTGCGACCAAATTTAACAGAATTATGGCCCTTTGTTGATTTTTTCACTAGATACTATGTAGAAATTTTGTGAACTCAACTCCTCTTAAACCGGATGGCAGATTTTGCTTAAACTTACAGGGATGAACAACCTTAATGTGTAGATGGCAGTAAAGGAAGGAATTTTTGCTGTGACCAAATTTAACAGAATTATGGCCCTTTGTTGATTTTTTCACTATATACTATGTAGAAATTTTGTAAACCCAACTCCTCTTAAACCGGATGGCAGATTTTGCTTAAACTTACAGGGATGAACAACCTTAAGGTGTAGATGGTAGTAAAGGAAGGAATTTTCGCTGCGACCAAATTTTTCAGAATAATGGCCCTTTGTTGATTTTTTCACTATATACTATGTAGAAATTTTGTGAATGCAACTCCTCTTAAACCGGATGGCAGATTTTGCTTAAACTTCCAGGGATGAACAACCTTAATGTGTAGATGGCAGTAAAGGAAGGATTTTTTTGCTGCAACCAAATTTAACAGAATTTATGGCCCTTTGTTGATTTTTTTACTCTATACTATGTAGAAATTTTGTGAACGCAACTCCTCTTAAACCGGATGGCAGATTTTGCTTAAACTTACAGGGATGAACAACCTTAATGTGTAGATGGTAGTAAAGGAAGGAATTTTTGCTGCAACCAAATTTAACAGAATTATGGCACTTTGTTGATTTTTTCATTATATACTATATAGAAATTTTGTGAACGCAACTCCTCTT